ACAGTTTTCGAATCGTAATTATAGCCTTGATGGTATTTACGACTTAGTAAATGTGAAAGAGAAAGTGTCAGATTTCTTATTATACTTAAGTTGCTACTTCAAATAATTTTTACTCCAAAGACATTGCTAATCAGCGAAATCTGTACGTAATAGGCATAAAGTTAAGTCTTATTGCGTGGCTTCTGTTCTGGGGGTTATTTGGCATCCTAGGATGATCATAGTTTTGTTCTGATTGTTTTATTTTTTCTAATTGATCGTTTGTGAAGGTTGTTGCTGGGTCAGGGGCTGCATGAACACCGACTCATCATACACTTGCAATGTACACCACACTATTTGCAACACTAAATACAATATATTTAATATATATGAAGCCTCAACTCCGCTACTGCACTTTGTTAGTCCAAGAACTTGATGTTGACCAACCCACACACTAGAAAGTGAAGGGACGACGACGTTTCGACTTGAGAATGGTCTAGGACGGACCGAAACGTCGTCGTCCCTTCACTTTCTAATGTGTGGTGTTTGGTCAACATATTTCAGCCACGTTATTGTGACTCCTCGCCTGCAAGAACTTGATATTCCTTAAGTGGTCTCGTTTATACACGAATTGGTCAATTATGTCATTGGTGGTCGTGTGGCGCACTCTGAGCCACTGGGGCAACGGGTAGAGTTCACTTTTTTTTAGAATCATATTATTTACAGCGCCTCACAATAATAAATCTAGCACTTCAAACGTTAGAATGGCCTTTTGCAAACAAATAGTTGGCCTGTGTGGTACATACCATGTAGTTTGCTTACGTTCCTTCTTTAACACACATGACAAAATCACACATTCTAGTCACATGCTTCACCATTTACAAGACACCATAGTGGACATTCAAACTCAGTGGGAACTTGCCAAGGATCTGGATGTTTATTGCTAGTGTGTGAATAACATCGTGTAGCAGCAACACCAGCAGCTTCAACACAACAGCACTTCTCTGCACACTCTTTCGGACTTTGCACATCACCCTAGAATATCACGTGTTCTGCACACCTGAACTATATAGTTTGCCAGTGACACGTATTTTACTTGTCTGAACTACATTTACATCTTGCCAGCGCTACCAGTTCTTCACGTCTTAGGAACTAAAAACTTTACACGTGGTTTCCAAAAATGTACTTATCTTTAAAGCTTATAACCATATAATAAATAAATAAATGTTTATTCAGGTAAAAGTACATACATATAAGATGAGTTCTAAACAGAATGTTTGATTTCTAGATAGAGCTAGTACATACTATGCCTCAATAAGTATAAGTATACAGTATATCATTGTATATACCTATCTGCTATACGCCATAGACGTAATAAATTATTCTGGTCTCACACAGTCCACTCTCCCTCACATGACGCAGGTGAGAGAGAGAAAAAACTATATTAATATACAAAAGATAGTCAGAAGTGGGAAGGTTCTGATGTCGCTTTGCTTTACGAAGATTGCTAGAAGCGCATAACACGAGTATTCAGAACTTCTCGACAGACTACTGACCTTAAAGAATGACTAAGTAAACAAAAGAACAAACCCACAAGGGTCGTGACGAGAGTTCGAAATTTTTTGACACTATAATTCATAGTCAAAAGACTACCAGCTCAGAAGATAACCCTGTATCATTTGGCTTCCACGAGCCGAACTTTTGAGAAATGTTATTTGGTATTCCCAGGGCGACGATGTGTGTATTTTGATGACTAAATAATCAGTGTTAAATATTCTGGATTATTTCATGTATCATATATGACGTCAAAATGGAGCATAACTATGTTCTTAATATGAAAACGATGTAGGCCTAAATAAAAAGTACTGTATTGACATTCAGAATATTAATTGTAGTTTTTCAAGTGGATGACCAATTTAGTTATGATTGTAGTTTATGGGTTAAAGGCTAGTTAGTGGCTTTACAAGAATGTAAGAACTCTTGTACTGTATATACAAATAAAAAAGTTGAAAATTGACTGATGTAGGGAATTAGGTGTTGTGACCAGCTGGGAGGAGATGTCAGCGACCAGCTGGGAGATGTCAGCGACCAGCTGGGAGGAGATGTCAGCGACCAGCTGGGAGGAGATGTCCGCGACCAGCCGGGAGGAGATGTCCGCGACCAGCCGGGAGGAGATGTCCGCGACCAGCCGGGAGGAGATGTCAGCGACCAGCTGGTCGCTCACATCACCACCCAGCTGGTAGCATGGGAGCAGTGTTGGTGTCGACACTTCCGTTGTTTACATCTTCACCCTTCCTATCCGCCCCTTCCATCCGTCTCCCCCCTCTCCTTTCCCCCAAGGCATGAATGTCTGCTGTGTGTATCTTAGGGGCTCAGCACTCCTTAATTATTATCAGTTTATTTCTCTTTCTGTTTTGCATGCTCCTTTATCTTTCCTTCATTTATTTAGCATATATCAGGGTGGTAGTAAATCAGGTGAAAGGAAACGCGTCCATCTCTTTCTGTTCTACCCGGGAATGGAACCCGGTATCCTCGATTACGAGTAAAGAACGAAACCAACTGTACAAAGTAGGACAGCGTACCCGCATGTCTGGGGCACGAGACTACACCCCACCCCAGTACACCAGCCTCTGTAAACACTTCGGCACAGTTACTGAGTATCTTTGTAAGATCGAAAACCTATACTGGCATGAATATCACCAGCCAAACTTTGTCAACAAAGACCAAATGATCATTTATCCAGCCGCCAAACCCCCCTGTTTATGAATGAAAAACGGTTTACACACGACTCACAACTGATGACGTTTGATCATTTATTGAACAGTGCTTCGCTGACGACTTTTGTTCGAACCACAACGCTGTAAATGCTCAGTCCGTACTCATAAAAAAAGGCCAAAGCCCATTCCATGCACCCTCCAAACCCCCTGTTTAGGGGAGTTTGGAGTGTGCAAACCTCCAAATTTATTTGTATTTGTAGTACGTGGATGAAATATTTACAGCGTTGTGGTTCGAACAAAAGCCGTCAGCGAAGCACTTGTTCCGGAAGTTTTCGGATGTCATCAGTTGTGAGTCGTGTGTAAACCGTTTTCATTCATAAACAGGGGGGTTTGGCGGGTGCATGGAATGGACTTTGGCCTTTGTTTGGAGGACGGGCAGATTGTTTTAGATTCAGCTACTCGGAACAAAAATGTTCCAAGTAGCACGGGCTATGGTGAGCCCGTAGTGGGCTAACATGACACAGGAGCGGGGCTGTAACTGGTGGACTTGGTCTGTGGCTGCGTTACTTATCAAGTCGTGTAATAGAAAGAGTGGAAGAGATTAACAGTATGGGGGAAGAGAGTGAGATGAATGAATGAAAAATAAAAATAAGACGATAAAAGAAAAAATAGGATAAAAGGTGAGAATATTTTAAGATGAAAGGAAAGAACAAGAGAAAAGGTAATAAAAAAGAGAATGGGTAAAGGAAAGGTTAGAGGATGAGTGACTATTTAAGACTAGCCTAGGCGCCATGACGCCATATCACGTTCTTATCTACCTTACGGACAATACCCTGGGATGTGTCATATTCTCTCCTCAAACACACTTCCTATTCAACACTTCCTAAAAAGGAGCTCTGTTTTTACCAGTTCGAAAACACACAATATACATACTCATTTATATGACTATTGACGCTATATTTATTTACCTACATAAATTAGTTGCGTTTTCGTATGCTGGCATATCATGCTATTATTATTGGATATAATAAGAAATTTTACCGTTGTGCATCACTTTCTAGATGTAGCATTATTATTTTAATGCTCATCAACATTTTTCTCTATATTTTAAATTCTGACTGATGAGTTAACGAATTTTTATTACCTTAATATTGGGGTAATTTTACGTGCTTTTTTTCAAGAATATTCCACGATAAAAAGCTTCCCTTGAACTTCTGGTAAGTGATCGACTTCTTCAGTGAGGCATTAAGTAAGGTTTGGAGGTCAGTGAAAGTATGTACTCACCTAGTCATGGAGCCTGCCTCCACCACATCACTGCCTAATGCATTCCATCTGTTAACTACTCTAACACTGAATTTTTTTTAAACGCCCCTGTGGCTCATTTGGATATTCAGTTTCCACCTCTGTTCCCTTGTTCGCGTACCACCCGTGTTAAACAGTTTATCTTTATCTACCCTGTCAATTCCTTTGAGAATTTTGTAGGTAGTGATCATGTCTTCCAGAGTCGTGAGGTGCATTTAACGCAGCCTTTCCTCGTAGCCTCTTAGTTTTGGGACTAGCCTAGTGGCATACCTCTGAACCTTTTGTGTGCGTGTGTATTTATATATATATATATATATATATATATATATATATATATATATATATATATATATATATATATATATATATATATATATATATATATATATAATGAACACGTACAGTATTGAACGGGATAAGAATATCTTGAGCTACCTCATCCCTTTGTGTGTATTTATACCTTAATAAACTTATTTTATTTTAAATTCAGCCTGGGAGTCATTGCAAGAAGGCAGGGCCCAGAGACTCAAGCTCAGCAATGCAAACTCAGATTTTGTTATTTTGAATGAGCGGTCCATGGGTAAACATGTCTACGTGGGTGGTGCACATATTGGCATATCATTCAGATTGACTATCAAATATTTATAAGAAAAAATAACCTCTAAAGTTCATCATTTTTCTTTTAAAACAGCGACCTCCAAATTGCGATATTGACCTCCAAAGTATGCTAGACTAGTCCCAGAATGTTTAGTGAGAGAAGCGAGAAATTACTTTTAAAAGAAAATGATCGTATAGATTAAAATGTTCAAATGACTAATTATCATGAAAGACCACGCACACGCCCCCTTACATCCGACCTTAACCCCTGGCACCATGTTGCTACATTGGAAATAAAATAAATTCAAATCAAATATCTCACGTGAGTGTGAATTCAAAAGTCCAGCAGACTCTCTAGTTGATCATACAAATAGAGTATTCGGCACAGTTGTCATACGATTACATTGCGATATACATTTTGCAATGACTCGTGTAAACATTATTATGGCAAAAAGGGCCAGGGAGCTTCAATGTCATTATGGAAGCACAAGTTTGTTTCATTTAACTTCCTCTTCAAGGAGCAACGCCATTGGTTGCCAGTAATATCTACGTCAGGAGCCAGACACTGCCTTCGTTTCCTCTAGCTGTGGCCTTGAATTATATTAAATTACATTACCGTAGAAATTAACGTTCATACTTTATTGTTTTAATTATATAGGTTACAACAAATGTATGTATTTACTACTGAATAGATAAATTACAAAATCCCCTTTTAAAAGTTATATATTAATGTTATCTTATTACCGTTAAGGTTTCGGATGCAGGGGAGACCTAAGCCATGCCCAGCACAGTGGGCAAAACTCAAAAAGAATCATTCAAGTTCTGGTGGCGGCAAGGAGTGGACCACAGCAGTGCTCTCTTACAATTTGATAACTATGGCGTTACTCGCATACATTTCACTTCTGTGTGCCTTTATGTTTACGGTGACCTGGGCCACAACTTACAACGTGCCATTCAGAAGTTGCGGAGGTAATGTTTAAGACATTTGAAGGATTTTGTTTACTTGGTTTAGAAATTAGTTCTCGTATGCAAGAGACCTATCCATAATTTTCCGTGATGATAAACTGTTGGTTGTGATAGCAGAGTAGGTGGGTAGGGTTAAGTATGAATGACGCCCATGATGTGGATACAATTTCTCTAAGTTAGTGGGTTAGAAAAGAGAAAAAATTCATAAGGATATGAATTTGTATGCTTAAGAAAAGCAAATTCAATCTGTCATTAACGTAGATCTCAATAACGAACCAGTGCCATTCCTAGATCTTGTTCACACTAGGTATTTTTTTATTGGGCATTACAATTGTAACTGAAAGAAGTCAAACTTTACTAGATAAGACCTTTTTACTCTACCCTTTTTTATATACTTTGGATCACACTTCACAAATTAAACACAGTAATGTATTAACATGATTGGTTCTTTATCAGATGTTCCGGCTCCCAGTGAAATGCGTATCAACTGCAGCAGCTTGGATAGAGGTTCCTGCATGTTGAACAAGGGAGAGACCTACATCATTCACGCAAACTTCACTCCACGTAAGTGCATCCTTCATAAATTGACCACATCCCATATTTCCGCTTTATTTTGATCTTGTCTATATAAAATTCTTTTATGGGCTTGTTCTTGTCAAACGTAATGCAAGCTGTATTCCTAAGTTGTTTAAGTCTACATAATAGCTGAAACTTATTTTATCAGGTATCTCGTCAAATGATGTGGAGAGCAAAGTGTCATGGCATTTCTGGGTGGATATGCCACTGCCTAACCAAGAATCTGATGCCTGCAATGGACACCTAAAGTGTCCACTAAGAAAAGATGTTTCGACGACCTTCACGTATCTTCTAAAAGTCCAGAACTTTTGGATGAGGGTAATTTTTAATAGTTTATATTAAAATTTAAATATTGCACAAGTTATGAATATTCGCCACACTTACTATTGATAAATTGGTTTAGTTCTCCTTTGTAGCTAGATTTTTTTGTTCACCTGAACTTAAAAATCTTATTTTGGACAATGATCATTAAATAGCAGTTCCAACTAAAATGCTTCACTAAACTATTAGAGCTGAAAAATTTTCTCCCAAAGAAAAAGAAACTTGGTTAAACACGTCTATGCATAGTTGGGGGCATGTTAACAAATCTACAGTGACGCAATAGGAATCTTGGCAAATTGTCTCTGGTAAATCTTGCTGCTTTGGGAGGGGGGGGAAAGCTGATAAATAATGCATGTAGCCCAGAATGACCCACTCTAAACCCTCAAAATACAGGCATTGCAAGGAAGGCAACTAAAATAGTCACTGTTGCCTAGCAACTACTGTACTCCACATTGCCTATGGGGCAACAGACATTGTGCTCCAGACTAGATACCATGGGAAGAAATGTATATTAAGTTTACAATTTCTGTGCATAGTTTTACTTCACTAAAGGACTAAAGTATATTTGTTGTGCACAATTGTGGTAGTTTAAACATTGTAGTTGTTAGGTCTATACAGAGGCAAACTTAACGCTATCGGTTTGAGACTAAACCTCGTGCTGAGTGTTTTCAGGGGAAACCTGAATTGTGAATTTACCAGAGGTCTAATGTAGTGACGTCGATGAAGACGGGAAACTAGTTAGGTCTATTCATGCGCATGCCACCTATGGGGTGGCTTAATCTCTCTCAATCGTAAAGAAACAGTGCTTGTTAAAGGTCCCCATTTCCATAATTCCCGAGACTATTTCCCACTGGATTTTTTTTAACTATGTCTACGCATTTATGGCTTTGGCTGGCCGGAATTTCCATGGGCTTATAACTAATGGGGAGGGGGGAGGGCGTTTAGTTTTCTCCTTTTGGTACTAGTTTTGACTCTGCGGCAAATTTAGCTCATGCAAAGAGTTCATGCGGCTATTAAATGCTTTTAAGAGTGTTTGGTTCTTGGTTATTTTTGTGCTAGAATTTTGCTTAAATTTTGTTTCATTTAGTTTTTCCAGTAACTGGTTTGTGGTATGATACTAAAGTTTCAAAATTAGTTCTGTGTGTACGCGCACGCGCACATTCGTATTCCTAGAACAAAAGACCTACCAGGACAGTAGAAAATGAAAGTTGTACCATCAATGTCTCAGACTGAGCATATTAGTGTCTTGGACAGTAACGGTAGCTTTTTCAGCAATGCTATTTTTCTCAACTTTTAAATGCCCTCATTCATTGCCAAGTTTGATAGCTTGGCCACTAAAAATACAGTATATTAAAATGGATAATAAACCTAACAATGGCTTGTCTTGGTTCTGCAGAGGCGGTACCCAATTGTGTGGAGACTGATGGATGACGACACAGATGCCCAAATTCTTTGCTTCAGGTTCAGTATACATATACTCTAGAACATCTTAAGAATAGAGGAAGTCTGTTAAACGTCTTATTTTAGATGTCCATCGATGACTGCAGCATCGAAATTATATAGGAAAGTTTTGTCTGCCCCATGTTACCTGGCTTGCCATTTCTTGCCCAGTTCTTGGGTAAATGGTCAACATTTTATGAATAAGACAATGTAAACTGAGTTTTTAGTGTAAATACCAGAGTATAGTCTAATAGTTTCAACTAATGCCGTATTTTGCATCATTAAAGATATGCAAAATTAGATTAACAATGTTGACAGATTCTGATTTTATCATTATGTAAATGTTAACTGTATTAATAGGCATTTTGGAAGAACTATTTAGATGAAAAATGTGGCGACCAATTACAAAATGACAAGTTACTTGACATGGATTGCAGAACTGGTACCAGTGATTCACCGTACTCGTACTGTACATCCAACACCATCTTTCCAGACTAAATCGTTAATGTACTCGGTTAGATCTTCTGTTTCAAAACAATGTAAGTCTTGATTCATATGTGAATGTAATGTCGAGGCAGCTAATGATCACGTGTTTGTAAATTGCATTCGGATAAAAACGTCTAGTGCAAAGATTTTAATTGTTCAGTGTACATCTAAAGGTTTATTGATGAAATCTCAAAGATTGAGACTTAATTTAAAATATTTAATTTTTTAAAACTATACAGTATTTGAATACAATTTACTATAGGGTTTTACGTAGTTGTAAACAATAAATTATTTTAAGATTAGATTGTAGATGTTTAAGAAAGAACTTGTACAAACTTTCCTTTTTTTTTTTTTTTAGTTATCCACTATATATTTTCTTGTAGCAGATTAAAATTCTTTTATAATAGAAGTCGGGTTTCTTTCAAATGAATACAGAAACGGTACTTCATAAAAGGCTCGTGTAAACATGTGTTAAATTTATTTCTACTCTAACTGCTATATTAGCCATTGAAGTTTGTTGACCAGACCACACTAGAAGGTGAAGGGACGACGACGTTTCGGTCCGTCCTGGACCATTCTTAACTAGATTGTTTTCACTGAATTTCTTAGACAAGCTAGGGTCTAGATTTTAACTTTAAATTACCGAATTCAATTTTTATTATGCACCCCATTACCATCCCGTGGTGTAAAGGGTTAGAGGCACATAATTGATTCAGGAACTGAACCCCCGAGTTCGTTTAGCTAAGCAAATAACGACGCTAGTTACACAATTATTATATATACTCTTACACATACTCATACATGTAAATTACCAAAGAGGGCATAATTGTCATAACAAATAAAAATGATAAAGGATAGTGTTGTTAATTAAATCCCTGGAAGCAGTGCAAAAACTTTTTTTTTTTTTTTACTTATAACCAGACTATTGCACATTCCCACATGCATCCTTCCCTGGGAAATTTTGGCAATGGTCTTTAAGATTGATAGAATTCTAGGCGAATCGGATAATTTTGATATCGTTCGCCTTGTGCGTTTTTGTTCTCGTATTGGCATTCTTGGTGACATTTAGCGCCCTCTGATTATTTCGCACTTTGATGGTGCTACATAGCCTTCCCAGTTTGGTGCCTTCTTTTAATAATTACCTTACCTTACCTTACTGTCTAAATACCAAGTTTCCGCTCCTGCAGCACAAATGTAAGGGACTTGGTCAACGGCTCAAGCCTCCACTTCCAATGAAGAACTCGGCCCTTCCACTAAGACATTATGTCGCAGTCAACCAAATCAGACTACGAAATTCAAGAATGTGACCCTGTACATCTGAAAATTTAGAAAACTATGAGGAGAGAGAGAGAGGGGGGGGGGGCAGAAATTCGGTTTTAATACTTTCCTCAGTCTAAAGTATATTCCTACGGTGAAGTATGCTTCGGCAAATTACGGAAGTGCAATTTACTGTGGACAGGATAATTGAACTCCGGCTTAGTAATTATATATATCATCCACACAAGCTGAACTGCAGGCCATTCTGGCGTGTTTGGAGGAAGTACGTCATGACGACAAAAATGTTTTTGTATTTGTCGATAGCCGAGGAGCACTAGAGTCCTTAAACAGTCGAAACCCAGTCTTCATGTCTATAGTGGAGGACTGTAAGAGAAGAATAACTGAGATACAGCTGAAAGGTTATAGTGTGAAATTCATGTGGATTCCGTCTCATGTTGGAATAGTGCTCAACGAGGTGGCGGATGACTTGGCCAAACGTGCCACATCAAAACCACAAGTTGACATTGAATGTGAATTCACAATGAGACAAATAAGAAGCAAAATCAGAAATATTCAGGCACAGGCGGGAGTGGAGAGGAGAGAGATAATGTATGAGAGAAGTCAAACCATGCAACACTACATGTATGCGAGTCAAAACACCCATTTCACTTATGGTAAAAGGAGAAATGCTTGGAGTGACTCTGTGTACATGCGGCTCAGGCTTGGGTACAAATATTACTGGGAATATGGGATAGATGTTCATGGTAATGACACGAAGTGTAAACTATGTGGTATGTTAAGGTCTCACACCCTTGCCCATTATATTCTTGATTGTCCGTTGATTAATGTATATAGAAACACTGAGATAAGGACTGTTCCTGAACAAATAGCCTGGATGTGTCACAACGGAAAGGTTGATGATATTCTTGAGAGATATAAGAATTTTGCACCAAGATTGTAATATTTTGTTGAATTATCTGCAGGTGTCTTGCAAATTGTCTATACAGTATACCTAGGTCATAAAAGTATTTGTGTGTACGTCTGATAACATACTACTTGTGAGGGAGGAAATGTATATTTTTACCTCTCAGAATGTTTGGTAATGTGTTTATTTGTGATGTGTGTCTATGTATATATTAACACGTTGTACTGAATGGGGTGAGAATAGCTTGAGCTACCTCATCCCTTTGTGTGTATTTTACCTCAATAAACTTATTTCAATTTCAATTTCAATTTAATCTGCAGAACATAACCTCAAACTCGGCAACCAGGACGAAACCAATTGAGGTCCTTGCTTAGTGTACAAACCACAGCCATATTGTGTGTGCTGTCCTGTCAAGGTATTACAAGAGCATGGGGAAACTTCTGTATAAGAGTTTACAGAATCCCTAAATGGTAGTCATATACATAAATATAACTAAATAAATAAATGTTTATTCAGGCAAGGTACATACATGCAACAGATTTTACATAAATTGAGCGATTTATAGATAGAGCTAGTACATACAGTGCCTAAAGCCACTATTACGCAAAGCGTTTCTGGCAGGAAAAACATTAATGACTAAAACTTAATACTAATTGAGTATAATGAATAAAATGAGTTGAACAAATAAAACTAGGAAAAAGGGAGAACATGGCTGAAAAAACAGCACAAATACAATTAGGTCGACAAACAGCGTTGTTTAAAAAGACATGGGTTGACAATGCATTATAAATACATTACAACTACAAGCCTAGCTCGGGTATAGGCCTAAATTTCTAGTTTTATTTGGCTGGGCTGGACGGTACAGCGACGGTCTCGCGTTATGCAGGTCGGCGTTCAATCCCCGACCGTCCAAGTGGTTGGACACCATTCCTTGCCCCAGTCCCATCCCAAATCCTTATCCCTGCGCTATATAGTCGTAATGGCTTGGCGCTTTTCCCTTCACTTTATATAAAGTGCTCTCCTCGTATATGGTCAGTATCAGTAAACAGTGCAAATAAGCTCATAAAAGTTGTTCAACCAAACATTATTTATATAAGAGGGTACATAATGTTGTTTTTTAATTTTTGCAAGCCACGAATAACGTTTCAGGCATTATTTTTGTACGTTATGTATTTTTTTTTTACCTTCACTGCTAGTTTCCCCAAATTAATTTAATGGCCTAATTATTTTTAGTATTAATTGTTATTTTCAAATAAATTTTGATGCAAATATAAAAGCTCAAAATCCGCAATATTTGATAATCCAATTTATGCGAACGGCGACCCAGAGCGCTCATGAAGCAATGCTTCATGCTGGTAAGATTAGTATTAGCAACTTTAATTAACTATAACTTTCAACTAGATGTTTAAGGAAACAAATCTGAATTATTTTTTTAAATAAAACTAGTTAAGAACGCCATAGTGAGATAAATTTGAATATATCTAGGAATTTTCGTGAATTATGAGTGAAGCCCGAGTGGTTCATGTTGATGAAGCAAACATTGGTGTGGCGGCCTCGTGCTGTTGTTCCGAACCTTAATGGAATCTGACCCATATATCAATCAGGTCAACCCATGTGTTGCGTTTCCAAAAGGGTCGCCCATGTTAGAATCGGTGAACGCCCTAGTAATATTGTTGAAAACATCTTAACTTATTAAACCAAAGGTCTATTTATGTCAGAAGAACGGCAGAAACTGGATCTATATATGAAAATTCTTTCAGGACAAAATTTAAAGTAAAACTAAAGATATTTGTAGTTGTATAAAAGTTGCATTTTTCATCGGTCGTAGAGCCGGAAATCCGCAATATTCATCTCAGAACAATGCTTATTTCACGCAGAATCGTTAATAAACGTAAGATTTTTATACGTCTCAAGAAAGATAGAAACATAATCTTCATTTTAAATGCCTTACCATGGGCATATTTGTATTTAAAGCGAAGATATGTGTATTTTTCTAATCGGCGAGCTCCGATCCCGCACAGATCGAGCAACAGAGTAACTCTCTCTCAGAACAATGCTTATTTCACGTAAATTCGTTAATAAACGCAAATGTTTTTATATGTGTTGAGAAAGATAGAAATATAAGCTTCATTTTAAATACTTTACCATAGATATATATAAAGTTCTAATGAAGATACATGTGTTTTAATAATCGCCGAGCTCCGACCCCGCACAGACTGATCAACAGAGTAACTCTCTCTCAGAACAATGCTTATTTCGCGTAAATTCGTTAATAAACACATATGTTTTATATGTCTCAAGAAAGATAGAAATATAAGCTTCATTTTAAATACTTTAACATAGACATATATAAAGCTCAAGTGAAGATACATACGTTTTTATAGTGGCATTCAGTAGCTTGTCGGTCATGGAATGCAGAAGCCTACGCACTTGCCAATATAGTGTGTAATTAACAAAGATACGCTTATAAAGCCTAAAATATTAATAACTTCAGAAAGCCTTCAGAAAGACAGAGATATGCTCGTTATTGTGAGTGCACCAAAGGAAATATATCTTGTTGGAGGACAAAGATATAACAATTCTAAAATAAGTTTCGACTCCCGCTCAGGCGAGAGATAGCGCGACTCTCGCCCCATCTATTGGAGATTCTGTTCACCTAATGACCCAAAGCTACTCAAAGCCTCCTAGCATTACTTAAATAATGAAGAAATATGGTATATTTATTCACTATAATGTTGGTGCTTAATGCAGAACACGAGAAAACATATATTTACTATAAAATAATATACTTCCATTATGAAATAAGTAAATATGTGGCCTCATAGGAAGTCAACGGTCCAGGTGTCAATGTTGTGGAGCGACTTATCCAAGATATATTGTTGTCTGGAAAGTGTTTGTTCGCATATCAACCTTCTGTACACAGTGATCCAGTCGTCGCACTTCTCTCCTTAAATGATCGCAAATTTAGTTTATTATATTAACAAGTAGAATACGTATTTCTAATAATATCTAACATAGCTAGCCAGAAAATATTTAAGACTTATTGAAAAATACATGTCTGGAAGTTAAATCGACTTCATAGAACAATAGTGTTGGTCTATACTAATCGTTATTCGTTAGTATGCGTTCGCTACTTAAAACATTTACTGTACTGATGTAAAATCTCCCATGTCTCTTCGCACATGGAACACCGAACCTTACACACTCTCTGATATATTGTTTAATTAATAGATTCACTAATAAAGCTTATAAAGCTTGTATATGTTATCAAAAAGGCATAGATAAAGTCGTTCTTACGTTTTAGTCACAGAGATTAGATATTAGTAAAGTAAAGTTCATTTTATTCAGGAAAGTACATAAATAGTCGATTTACAAACATAATATTGGATTTATAGATAGAGCTAGTACATACAATACCGAAAGCCACTAGTACTCATAGCGTTTCGGGCATATTATTGAGAGAGGAAAGATATTTATATTTAATTGTTTTTTTTTTTTTTTTTTATATATATATAAGGGGTACCACCTCTGGTGCAAGTGTAGGGACCCATAGCCTCGGAGAAGAATCTTTCATATAGAATAGGGTAGCAGCACATTACTGTGTATACCTAAGCTTGTTAATAATAACAAAAAAAAAAGTTAGTTTCTATAGATAGGGAGAGCGATGGTTCAAAAATCCTTCTTTAAAACATGAATATTTTTCCTATGTCACTAAGATCTAATCTCTGTGATTAAAATGCAAAATTGACTTTGTCACTGCCTTTTTGATAACGTATACAATCATAAGCTTATTTGTGAATCTCTATTAAACAGTAAATCAGAGAGCGTGTAAGGTTCCGTGTTCCATGTCCGAAGAAACAGGGAGATTTTACATAAATACAGTACATGATAGCTTAAGTAGCGAACGCATACCAACAAATAACGATTAGTATCTATAACAAAAATATTGTTCTATGGAGTTGATTTAACTTCCAACCATGTATTTTTAAATAATCTTTAACGTTTTCTGGCTAGTTATGTTAGATTTGATTAAAAATACGCATTCTACTTGTTAATATCGTTAGATTTGATTAAAAATACGCATTCTACTTGTTAACATCATAAATTAAATTTGCGATAATTTGAGCAGAGAAGTTCGACGACTGGATCACTGTGTACAGAAGGTTGATATGCCAGCAAACACTTTCCAGAGAGCAATATATCTTGGATAAGTCGCTCCACGATATTGTTGCTTGGACCATCGACTTCCTTTGATATTACATATTTACATCTTATTTTGTTATGAAATGATATTTTTTCAGAGTAAAATTATGTTTTCTCATTTTCTGCATCCAGCATCCACATTATAATGAGTAAATATACCATATTACTTCATTGCTTACGTAATGCTAGAAAGGTTTGAGTAGCTTTGGGTCTTTAGTGGACAGAATCTCCAATAGATGGGCTAGAGTCGCCCCATCTCTCTCGACCGGGCGGGACTCGAAACTTAAATTAAAATTGCTATATCATTGGTCTCCAACATGATATATTTCCTTTGATGCACTCACAATAACGATTATAGCTCTGTCTTTCTGGAGGCATGTAATATTTTAGGCTTTATTAGCGTATCTTTGTTAATTACACAACATATTGGCAAGTGCGTAGGCGTCTGCACTCCATGACCGAAAAGCTACTGAACGCCACTATAAAAACATATATATCTTCACTTGAGCTTTAAATATGTCTAATGTAATGTATTTAAAATAAAGCTTATATTTCTATCTTTCTTAAGACGTGTAAAACATTTGTGTTTATTAACGAATTTACGTAAAATAAACATTCTTCTGAGAGAGTTGCTCTGTCGCTCAGTCTATGCGGGGGTCGGAGCTCGGCGATTATTAAAATACATGAATCTTCATTAGAACTTTAATTATGTCTATGATAAAGTGTTTAAAATGAGCCTTATATTCCTATCTTTCTTGAGGCATATAAAAAATTTACGATTATTTACAAATTTACGTGAAATAAGCATTGTTCTGAGAGAGAGTTGCTCCGTCGATCGATCTGTCCGGAGTCGGAGCTCGGCTATTATAAAAGTACACGTATCTTCGCTTTAAATTTAAATATGCCCATGGTAAGGTATTTAGAACGAAGCTTATATATTTGTCTTTCTTGTGACATATAAAACTCTTACGTTTATTAAGGAATCTGCGTGAAATAGGCATGGTTCTGAGATGAATGCTGCGGTTTTCGAGTTTGACGAGCTGCCACTTTTATACAACTACAAATATCTTCGGTTTTACTTAAAATATTTGTCTTGTAGAGGTTTTATATATAGATCGCGTTTCTGTCTTTCTTCTGACTAATAAATAATTTTGGTTTAATCAGTTATCAAGATGTTTTCAACAATATTCTTTCAGCGTTCGTCTTTTCCAACTTGGCCCACCCTTTTGGAAGCGCGATACTTGGGTTAACCCATCCTATACTTGGGTCAGTTTCCATTATGGTTCGGAACATTGTCACCGTCGTCTGGTCTGGCCATATTTGACTGAGACTGAGAGTTTAGTCACTATACAACACCCCTCGAGGAGCCTGCGGTAGACAGCCCTTCATACAAGCAGCAGGTATAATGAGGCTTCATAATACTCGTTGTAGTTTATATGTACAATAATGTATTGGGTGGCAAAGTTAAGAGATATCTGTTGAGTAAAGGGAACGGAGGACTAACTGCCCGAAACGCTTTACGTAATAGTGGCTTTAGGCATTGTATGTACTAGCTCTATCTATAAATTCATAAATATTTGTATCACCCTGTATGTATATACTTTACCTGAATAAAGTTCAACACCGGGCGACAAAAAATCATCTCGGAACTAAGTCGACTCTCAGGAACGGCTGAGGGCCACATGGCTATAACAACAGTGCAAACCAGACATGGCATTCAACACAATGTGTAGAATAACTATGTACACATATGGTAATTGACAAAAACTGTGAGTACTGTATATAGGGACCTCATAGGAAGTGTTCTGCAACTCACACCTTTGCTATTATATCTATTATATCTAGGAATGTTCAGCATTAGATTCAAACACAGGTGGTAAACACTAAATTGTGATTTGATGATAACCTCATTGCCCAGAAACATTTATAAAAAACATAATACTGCATTTGCATTGGTCCTTGTTAACTTTTATTACATCCATATAGATATAACTATGTCATATCATTTGTATGTAAAACTGGGCAATAATAACTAAAATATGATAACCACAATACCCTGGGTGATCAACATATGACATTAACTGCACATAAGGGTTAATTGTAATATTTTTTTTTTAATTTTTAAGAAAAAACAAATTTCAATTTACTATTAATTATTATAGCATATATAATGGTAACTAATTCTTGAACAGGAACTAATTACTATATTCCTGATTGATATAAATATTTTGGATAGACTTACATTTCCTCTATTGTTGCCAGACGGCTGCAGTTACCAGGCCCAAACAACTACTGTACTGTATTCTGAACACCAGATGTTTGAATAAATGATTTAGATTGTTCAAACTATTTTTGATGCATGTTGTAAAATTTGTATATTGTAACGAACAATTCATTATCATTCAGCCATAGCCACATATCATAGCTTAATGGTAGAATTCATATTTATGCAATACATCACAATGTCATGTAATAATATACAAAAGTATGCAATAAAGTGAGTGCCAGAATTAAGAGACCTAAGCTATGAGGACATTTTAAGGGAATTGAATCTCGCAACCCCAGAGGCAAAATAGAAACAGAGGCGATATGATCATTACATACAAACCACTGAGGGAAATAGACTAGGTGGACAAGAAGAAAATCTTTAAATCAAGAGAAGGTGGGTGCAAAAGAACATAGATGCAAGCTAGAATGCAAATGAGTCAAAGAAATGTAAGGAGCAGTCAAAAGAACCACTTGCAATTTACAGGTCACATTCACTAAAAGTAATAGTAGTGGAAGCCACCTCAACCCATAACTTTAAGACTAGATACAACAAAGTACTCAAACTTCAGGAAAGTTAAAATAAAATGCAACAAATATGGAACAGCCAGAAGCCGAAGCATACAAAGCTAAGCCTAACTTCCATGTTGTCACTGTTCAGTAAACACACAACATATATTTCATTAAAGCCATACACATTATTTTTCTTTCATTGTGTTGATCTTTACTGAACTGGTTTAATCCCTGATGATACAGTGCTGTATAAAATTTATTTATTTACTTTTGTTGGAAATATACTATGTATACTGTAATTTTGTGTATTACTTATTTTACAGATGACAAAGAAAAAAAAGAGTTGAACCACTTACCTATGACTGTTTAATTCTACATTTGAAATTGCCAAGTCAGATATGAAATCACCAGTAAGAAAAAACATCCCCAAGGCAAAACTTAAATCACCATTTTTATTTAAAACGCCCAAAGGAGTTTTATCACAAAAGGGGAAAAAAAAGACATTGAATTCTCCATTTGAAATTACTGAGTCAGAGCTGAAATCTCCAGTAACGGAAAACTTGACCAAGGCAAAACTTGAATCGGCATTCTCAGTCGAGTTGACAACAAATGCAAAAATGCCCGAAGCGGTGAACAGAATATTGGCAACAGCACAAAGGTTTAGTCCAGAACACAATAATGCGACAAAAGGAAAATTATCAGAGAGAGAAGCTAATTCCTCTATAGTTGAAACTCCACCGAAACAAGTCCTGAAGTTAGAAAGAGGAAAAGATGTCCATGAAGCAACTAAACTAGAAGCAGAAGAAACATCAAATAAAGTAACTGAATTGCTAGAAGCATCAAATACAACAAAGACAATAATTAAAAAAAAATCAATGATCAAGAAAAGTAAATCAGTAAATGCCAAACAGCGACTCAAACATTTTATAAACAAAAATACTGGCAAGCTAAAATGCACAAGTTTAGTTAAAGCTGATCCAAGTAAGTTAACATCACCGAAGAATCCAGAAGTCTCAGAGGTGACTGATATCCCCTCCACTGCTGAGAATGTTAAAGTTCACAGGTATGTTGTTAAAGTAGTGTTGATATATTTAGATTTTAGTACAGTATAATGTTAAATTTTTACCTCATGACAAAGAACTAGGTACAATACAGTATATCCATTATAGGAATGCATTACAGTTTTGTAATGTTTCTTTTCTTAGCTACATGAAGACTGTAGATTAGCCTGAAACAGAAACTTACAAAATATAACAACACCTTGTATGTGACTAGTTAAAAAAAATAATTTTTACTATGTTTGTTTGCCTAAAGTATGCACAAAGTCATGGACAACAAAATACAATAGTAGTTTATATTTCAATTATTGAATGATATAATTTGTTCATGGAACCTGTTATTGTAGTACATTTGAAGTAACTTAAATATTTTTGGGGCTTGGTTTTAACCAGCGGTGTAGATGACAGATTCTGATTGTTGTGTGTGGCTGAGGACCAGCAATCATAACCTGTTAAAGAGTGTTTGGGGGTGAGGGACCTGATTGTCATTATGGATCTGACTCCGTTACGGCAGTAAATAAGATAGCAACATTCTTCCTTGACTACGAGCTTCTTTCCCCACCTCTCCCCACTAGCTTCTTCCATATCTACAACACTACCACCACTCCATGCTAATTATGTGCATTTTTCTCTTTACACCAGCCTATGCTCATTAGACCAGTGTATGCACATTAAATTACACATTACACCTGTACAGTACTCACTACAGTGACTTGTTTTCTGTACCAAATCCTGCAATTGTTGTATGCATATAGATTTTTAATCCAAAGCCATTACTGTGGACTCTGCAAGATATTATTCATTTTTATTTATTTATTAACAAGCTTAGGTGCACATCTGTTTGCTGCTACCATACTCTATATGAGTTCGTCTAAATTTACCATCTCGCAGGATAGTTCATCATACAAAAGGATCTGAGAAAAACTTGGGATGCAAGTTGAGTCTACAGTACTAGTCTGCATTAATAAACTTCGGGTAGAGTATGAGACTATCTTATAACATCTGAGTGAATGAAGTGGTTACGAATCTCAAAATATCTCATACCACTTTGTCTAAAATCAAGCATTCAAGCATAATTGAGCATTCACAATATAGTATTGAAGAATGTGACCCAGCTCTTGTTCAGTGTTCACTACTAGAGTGCTCACTGTTGAGAGATTCATTGCCTGCAGTTACCTGCGAAAAGTAATGATGTTCCAGTCTAATTGTGGCAATTACATTGTCACATTTTCTGGTGGATATTTTATGCTGTTTGTACGTATGGTTTTAAATGTGATGGTCCATATTTCATAAAGTAGTGTGGTTTTGACAAAGATTAGAATATCTAGATCTATTTAAATTTCAGGTTTGTTACATACAACTTTAGCTTCCTTGTCAGTTTAACTCTGTTGGATGATTGGTATCCATGAAAAGGAGATTCTGAAGCTTTCTTTGGCATCAATCATTCTTATAATAATTACATTCCTAGTACAGTATTTGTTTTATATGTTGGTTTTTATCCAATTCTTCTAAAGCACACTTATGGTTATATTTAGTTTCAAACCCAGCATGGTGGGAATGAAAGGCATCTTGCCCTTAACCACCCCAAAGCTGGGTTGCTATGCAAAACTGCTATGATTTCTTTTGGGTGTTTTTAATTAATAATTACTGTTGTAAAGATCATTTTACACTGGTTTATTTTGTGAACTCTGCCAAATAACTCTTGCTTTGATTATTATAAATATTAAGTGTTAGTCAATGAGATCATGTGAGGCATTGTTATGTCTTAATAAATTCTTACAATGAATATTTTGTTCAGGTATTAGTATCAGAGTATCAGTTATTAAGTCAGTATTGGTATTGGCTCTAAATTTTATGCATACAGCTCTTAATTATATACTGTCATTCAGTATATAATTATAAATACTGGTACCAATTAACAGTTTTTAGTTATTTTTCAGATTGGTTGTAGAAGGTTTACCAAAAAATACATCCGAGAGGGACTTGAACAACTCTTTCAATAAGGCCAAAAGTGTCCATATAACTAAATCTACGCAAGGAAATAAGTTACTCTGGTAGGAATTTTTTAATTTGTTGCTTTGAGTGAATGTTATCAATCTTTCTCTTGAATACCACTGCCACATGAGGGAACTCCTTGTGTTACCAAAATTATTGTTGTACAGTAAAACTTTTAACAAAACTTCACATAAATGAACAGTGAAAATTGTAGACTGGCTCCTGATAATACAAACTCTTAGAGCAGTGTTCTTTAAAGTGCTGGAGAATGCTGAATGATTGTTTAGTTAGAAAATGCATATTACAGTGGTTGCATTGACCTTTTAAATGAGAATTTGATGTCTCACTACAGACAATTGTTAAAATGTAGGGGAAAAACAACTGTCTTTAGACAGATTCTTAGTAAGACAAGCAAGCAGTGAGCCACAACCAGGTCCTAGTGGTATGCCTACAAAACGTAGGAGAGAGAGTATCCCAGAGAAGTCATCACTGCCTGATGTTATAATGGAAGGGAACTCCCCTTCCAAACAATAACACCTCTCCTTCCCCCCCTTCCTCACTGTCTTCCATACGCCAACAAGAGTCATCAGTGAAGGTAAGCTATAACTTGTACATACTATAGTACAAAATATTTGTGTGTATTATGTATGAAATGTATTTAGAAGTTAATATTTTTGGAAGTGTGGAACGGATTAATTCAATTTACATTATTTCTTATGGGAAAATTTGTTTTGGGTTGTGAATTTTCGGCTTACGACCCCTCTGGGAATGGATTAAATTTGAAAACCAAGGTACCACTGTATATTGGTCTAATTGCACAGGAATTAAAATGTGATGACACTGCAATGAATGGAGGAAATAGAGGGATTTTGAAAAAAAAATATTAGATATAGCAAATTTTGATATTACTTGGAATAACTGGTTTGTTGAGTGTGGCGCTCTAGCTTCCAAGGGTGTTCCTAATAGTTTGTGTTATTCTGAAAAACGCAAAGTTGTTAATATGATTAATACTTTCGCTGCCCCTGTGGGCAGCCCCGCTACGCACCCCAAGGTAGGCCAAGCAGTAGCCGTCAGCTCACCACCTCACTACAATGTTTATTCTCTTTTGAATGCTTTTATACTCTAATGTCTATACATAAAACATCATTGCCTATCCCTTGGGATTAATTTTCCTACTTCAATTTTTGATTCGTCGTTCAATTTTGTATCAAATTGTTCCTAATATAATGCTCTAAAGGAATATTTACATATCATATTGGTAACGTTGTTCTTATTTTTTTATAAGTTAAAGTACATTGTCATGCAAAAAAATGGCTTTTAGTTATTATTTATTCATTCCCAACATTGTATATGACACCATATCATTCGTTTTCATGTTGTTTCCTTCATAATTGTTTGTTCAAATGGTGCAGTGTTGTCAGTAGACCAGGGTTCACCAGAACTGGTGCCTGGGGTGCGTTGGATATGTGGGGTCCGTTGGGTATTAGTTCTAATTGAAGGGCCTGCAATATCATGATCATTATTCCACTCACTTTCAATCTCATCCTCGCCTGCTGTTTCAGTTTCAAATATCTCACTATTTACATCACTATCACTTTCTGCACTTTCAAGATAACTGCCTGAAAAGTAGTCGACTACAGCCTTATATTTTATAGGTGTGAGTTTCACTTTGCTATGCTTTTGGCGAACACTTTTAGCTTTTCCCTCATCTGTGTTTCTTTCACTACAATATTTGCGTCGTGGATTATCTCTGTCCTTGTTCACTATCCATCTTGGAGTAAATGTAGTGTTTATAAAGAAAAAACAACCAGAATGGGCTCACGTTTTAACTCGAGGGAAGGCCGTGGCAGTCACGAGCTGTGGTCACAAAAACACTGAGACTCCAACGTGGGGTTGCCACCCATGCGGCGGTCTCATGAAGCCACTTGGGCTATACATATAATGAGAAGACATTGGAGTGCATTTTAAAACCATCCCCCATAATATGAGGACAGTAAATGGATTTTTTACAAATATTTTAATTTTGGACGGCATCGCCGTCCTCAGGATAACCGCGTGCGACTATTTTAGGATGTCATTGTTATCAGGCAGCAATACCAGTAGTGTTAAAGGAAGCTCGCTGAACTCTCAGCTGTTTGAAATTCTGTGTTTTGACACGAGAGACTGATTATTCCCACTTATTATGTCGGTGAAATTTTGTGGATTTCATAGACAGTGTTTGCATTAGTTCATGCACTAAGGAGAGAGATTCATTTTTTCTTATAGAAAAAATCTGATTTGGCAGATTTGTTATAATATCCTGTGACAATTAAATAAAATAGGTACAGTACCATATTTAGCAGATATTATTTATCTAAATGAACTTAATTTAGAAATATAATGATCAGTACTGACAATATAAAGGTCAAAGCATTTAAAAAATCATTATTACTGTCGTAAGTCAGGCTTCAAGTTAAACTCTCAAACTGCTACACGTTCCCAACTTTTTTACACAGGTGGGTACAGGACTAGATGACTTCTGACCCCCATTGGCAAGCTTGGAACTTTCCCTTCACAGAGCTCATGTTAAGCCTTGTTCAATCCCCGACCGTCCAAGTGGTTGGGCACCATTCCTTTCCCCCCGTCCCATCCCAAATACGTATCCTCTCTCTCTTCTAAGTGCTATGTAGTCGTAATGGCTTGGCTCTTTCCCCCCTGATAGTTCCCTTCCCTTTTACACCCGTCTCCAATTACTCCTGGGTGAACACTTAAGGATTGGTGCCCAGTTAAGTTTCCTCTCCAGAACTCAAATCCAGATGAAATCGCTCCCAAGGCAAAGGGCACATGTGCTACCACTGTGCCACAGGAACAGTTGCATTGCAACACATTGACAAAAACAGTATTACTTAAGAAAGTTTGAACAAAATGAGAAGAGACATACAGTTACATCTTTCTGCTTTGCCTGCCAGTGTGATTATTATTTTGCTTTAAGAGACGTTTGAAGGTTGAATAAAAAGCACTGGGTAAATGAGCTATTTATTTTTTAGATGCATGAATCTATGGTGGAGTTGAACCTAACTCCTAAACAAGAAAATGAGCTGCTCCATCTTGCATGTGACAATCTTTAGGAATCGGGCAAAAATAATAAACTTATGTTTTAAATCTGTTTTAAATGAATAATTTTATTATTTTAATTATTTTACTTAGAGCTTCATAATGCTTGGGATTGACTTTATCTTTCTCTTTATTCTTTCATGGAAATTTGTTAATTTTTAGAAGTGCAAAAAACTTTTTTTTTTTTTTTTTACAAAACCCACAATGTCCTACCAAAGTTTTATCTTAGGCATGTGTGTGCACTTACTTCATAGCTCATAAAAACAATATACAGTACATCTTATTTTTTAAAATCATTATTGCTGTAAAAGAATACATTTTGAGGATGTACAGTATTACCTTACTGGCTGTATTATTAACAGCATAGATGTACTGTAGAGATACAAATTGAAATGTAGCTTATTACTTCTACCTTTTTTTCAGTAATGGATTCATAGAGTTTGCTAATTTAGATGATTTCAATGAGGCTTTGGCTATCAAAAATCGTCGTATCAATGGAAAATACGTGCAAGTCATGAAAGAGGAATGTCTTGTCAAGAAGAGGCCATTTTACAAACGTTCACACAGTCCACATGCAAAACGCATTAAGGTATGTTCTTGCTAAATATATCATGTTTGTCCATTGTCATCTTTTTCCTTCCTCTCCCCTCACAAAAAACTTGAATGCACTCTTCCTCATTATTACCCCTTTCTTCAGTATGACCAAACTCTTGTGATACATTCAGTTTAAAGTCTTACCATTTACTGACTTTGTGAGTATCAGTCACTTATCCTATGTATCTACACTGATTTATCATTTATTTACATAATTTATTAGCCTCTCGTTGCCACCATAACTTCACTTTATTCTGAATTCATTTTTAACAATATTCTCCCACTCAATTAAATTTCCATTTAGTCTCCATAACTTTCTGCATAACACAAAGCTATCCTCTGCTTAACATTAAATTTGACACATGTAGTACATATGGATCAGACATTTTACAATGTGTGATGCCGGGTGTCTGGTGATGGAGCTGGAACCAAGAGTTGCCAGTTAGCCTGCTATGGCAGTAACCAAAATAGTTTAGAAGAAAAACTAAAATAATCAAATGCTTTACACTTGGCCCTAACAGCATTTTTTGGTTCTCATAAGGTGCAGAGCTTGTAGGAGTAGGAAAGTGTTTACAGTATAGTACTTCAATGACCTGAGGGAAGAAGGGTTGCTCCTTGGACCTGAGGATAAATTCCCTCCTCTCCTACAGGGTAATGAAGACCATATTGAAGGCCTGTACTTTTCCTGCCTGCTGGTCTACCTGTTTGCCAGCATGACTAAATACCTTGTCTTTTGGCATACATTGTGGCCTACATTACCTCCTTCCTGATAGCCAGCCAACTTACCTGTAGTTAGGTTTGAGAGTTCTTCTCTCCAAATCTGGCCACGTTTGTTTGGTGATAACTCAATTAGTATGGCGGTGGCCCTCGGGCACAAATATCTATTTAAACCCAGTTGTGCTAGTACTTCATGCAGAAACTTGTCCAATTTCCCCTTGAAAATTTTCGCTTTTAAATTTGTTTTGCCGAATAAAGAGTGGAATAAAGAGAACCTTTAGAACTCCAGAACATAAAAGAAGAGGTATATGGGAAATAGTGTTGATTTGTTTATTATTTCTTTACTTTTACAGAATCATAAACTATGTGCAGATCAGGGACTGCTTGTACACTTAACAAATAAATACCTCAGTAACTTCATCTCTCTAAATTTCTCTTTTTATAGCAATATAATTGCAGCAATTGTTCAATATTCTGGCACAGCACTACTATTCCTGGCCTCTAGAGACATTCCCCACTATATATATATATATATATATATATATATATATATATATATATATATATATATATATATATATATATAATATATTTATATATATTTATATATTTTGACATTATCTCATTAACACTGCAGGTTCCTCACAGATAAACTTGCATATACAGAAGATAAATCGGCTCATATACAGGTAGTACTATCTTTGCATTCTTCTCTCGCATTTAAATATAATCACTTTCATCATTTCCACCTATTAGACTTTCAAAGTATTCTCATCACTTGCTGTACAGTACTTCAAATTTCTGCTTCACCAGTTAACATTCTCTCATGTCTAAAGGAAGGGAACTATCAGGGGAAAGCACCAATCCATTAAACTATATAGCACTTGGAAGGGGTCAAGATAAGGATTTGGGATGGGACGGGGGAAAGGAATGGTGTCTAACCACTTGGATGGTCGGGGATTGAACGCCGAACTGCAGGAAGCGAGACCGTCACTCTACCGTACATCCCAAGTGGTTGGGTTGGGTAGATGATAATCAAGTCACACCCTTGTCCAAGGATGCGACTTGATTATTCCCATTAAATCCGACCACCAGTATCTCTGCTGCTCTTCTTTCCAAAACAGCTTTGTGTTATCTGAATAATTTTCCAAAATTTTTCTCTTGATCTTCTAATTCATTTTTAGATATTTTTACATACCCTTTATACTTATACTCCTGTTTCACTTGATTGTTCTTAACAGTTCCTCTCATTATCCAGCCAGTTTGCACAACTGATATAACAGTATTAAAAACTAATTTAGAATTTTGTTAAACGAAGTTTCCGAGAGTTAAAATTGTCATTTACATAGCTAATTAATCTTGAATGTTTTTTTCCATGAACATACTAAATTATTTTTTCATCATGAAGGTGGATGCAGTTTCAAATGATATCTGTAATGATGAAGATGACAGTGATGATGCTGAAAATGATACCAGTGTTGACGAGGAGGTTGATGATGTTGAATCATAATAAAGATGTCCCTGTTGCATATAAGTGAAAAACACACATTTATGTTAGTATTCTGCATCAGCAGAATACTAACATATTAAGAAGAGGCTGATTAAATAATATGACACTGGATATAAAGAATGTGATTGACATTTTTGTTTAAGTTTATATTGATTTAATACAAAAGTTTAGATTCATGTGATATGACTTTGCTTCATTGTAATTTCTAATGCATTTATTATACCTGTTGTATGTAGTACAATACTGTATTTTGGATTTAAAGAGGAGAGAATGTGCCTTTAAAAGTGTCTTAACATGTTCTGCTTGCATTAAAACATGTCATCCATATTGTGTAATAAAGATATTTGTGAAATTAGAACCTTAAGGTCTTTGATCTATTTTTCCTAATTAGCATATATGTATAAGTGCATCTGGCAAGACTTTTAATAAATAAAAGTGATTTTAAAAATACATACAGGATGTCACAGGACACGTGACTCAAAAATTAAAGGAAAACCACATTCTTGATAAATATCCTTTCAAATCTATTAAAATGCTCATTCTTGTAAAATTAAATTACAAACTTATTTAAAGCAGCCTGGTTTATTCTGCTCATTTATCAATACATTATAACTTATTTGTAGTACATACAGAATGTTAAAAAATGGGATTGAGTATAGCTGAAATGTACTTATTTTTGAGCAGGTCACTTCGTGGTTTCCTTAGACTTGTCCCACTACCTCTTGGAACGTTATGAATTGCCAGTGTGACATTCCATCTTCCAAAGCAGTGAGGAGCTTTCCTAAATGGCCCTGCCAGTCATATACTCATAATGGAGAAAAAGTGGCAACACTGGAAAATTCCTAGTCTACCTCTAAATGACATTCAGAAGGCCCATTTCTCTTCACTCAACGCCTAAGAATACAGTACTTAAAATTAAAGAAACTACTAAATATTGTTCTTCTATTCTTAACTACTGTAAAGACTAGTTACCTGCCTGGCCTCCACTGTTACGCATCACACCTACACTACAATTGGTAGCACTTTGGTATGAGAGGAGCATGCTCATTTCTTTCACTTTGAGTAGGGGCACAGTGTGAGACAGGAAAGATACTAAAAAAAAAAAGACAGGGAAAGAAGTTTGTCACAAGAAGTTGCTGCTGATACTACGGTGAGCATAGAAGAAAAGGAAGATGTGATCATTTGACTGCCTATAATACCAGTGCTATATCCTGGTGATGCATTGTAGTCGCAGCTGCATGAGCAGCTAGTTATTGGTTGTTAGAATAGCAGAGGAATACTTAGCAGTTTCTTTTAAGTACCAGTACTATATAGTTTGAAATTGTGTAGAGAAATGAACCTGACATTCATCTTAACTGAGAATTCTTCAGGCTCTCTTCCTCCTGTTATGGCCTAGTGGAGGAGTATTTAGAAAAAGATACCCACTTCGTCGAGAAATGGAAAGTCACACTGACCCAATTTACAAAACTTTGAAGTCTCAATATTCCAGGGGAAAGCAGGATATTACCAAAGGGAGTGACTGAGTGGCCTATGCTCAAAAAGAGCAGTTTTATTATTACTAATTATACTACCTTTCTTGTACCTCTCTAGAAAGAACAAATTATGACATGTAATTCAGTACAGGTGAACATTCATAATATAACTTATTTTCATCTTGTTCAATGTATGAAACGGAAAAAGCACATCTTTTATCATCAGTATTATCTGACAGTCTTGTTAATTATTTTTCATCCAAACATTTTGTAGTTCTCCATGTTTACCTGAGAAGAAAATGTATGTATTAATAATATAGTTAATGAATATTTCTTAGAATTGTTATATTAAATATATTCATCTATACCTATATGCAAGAGTAATCACAAAAAACATGTGATTTGGTTGTAAGTATCCACTAGGGGACATGAAAATTCCGAATGTTTTTGTTTCAACACATTATCAAGAAATACAGGTATTCCTTGTATAATGTATTGAAACATAAAAACTCGGAATTCCCAATTGAGACTCAAGAATGAACCCTCACTGTTCTACAGGGACCCAAATACTGTATACAACACACATTACCCACTGTATATAGATTGAGGTTTTATAGTATTAAAGGGAATATTTTAAATAAGATATTGTTTCTACAAAAGCCAAACATATTTGTACTGTAAGTGACATTTAACATACCAATTGTAGGCAGCGAACTTTTCAAATTTGCTAAGCGAAGCTTTGTTACTTGTTGTAGGCTTTTGTTTACCACGACGAATTTTCTCAGGATAATAATCTTGGTAGTATTGATGCTTGTTCTGGTAGTTCTGGTAGTAGTAATCATAACTGTTAGGTCGGTGAGAGTGGCGGCTCTTCTGGAAACAAAGTTATTTTAATAAAATATAAATCATAGAAAATAATCAATTAGATTAGAGGCAAGTAAATTATAGCCCATGGGCCAGATCGTGTTCACCCAGCGATATAATCCAGTCAGTGATGCTTCAATAATATATATATATTACTGTAATTTGATTTTTCATTTTACTCCAAAACACTGGTAATCACAAAAGCTATCGTAGATATCAGTAAACAATTAATCTTGCTAATCAATTAACATGAATATACTTTGTTGTTCATGTTAATTGATGGGGAAGATTAATTGTTTACTTGTATCTAAGATAGCATTTGTGATTACCAATGTTCAGGAGTAAAATGTTGATCCTGGATGCAATAATTGTAATTTAAATTTCTCTCAATATTACTCAAAATAGTAAGCCATATTTAGTAGGCATTTATAAAAAAACACTACAAAATAATTTTATGCTCAGACATTAAAAAGTATTTAAAAAAGAAAACCTATCCAAGAGATATTGTCTGTTCCTAGGCCAAATAAAAATAAATAAAAATATAAACCGATTATGCACCTGAGGTGGGAAACAGTACATGTCCAGATCATTGTGAATAAGGTGAAGGGTGATACACCACTTGCATCCATATTTTTGTTCAGAGGGAATCATGACTCGTCTGTGACTGCCTCCAAGCAACCCTCGACTGTAGTGGATGATGAACAACCTGTCTCTACTCAGACCAGTGACATGAAGCCAAGATAGAATACCAAGGATGTCAGTTCACCCAAAAGATAATTTTCTCGTACGGCCAAAGCACAAACTACCATGTTCTATACACACATGAACCATAGTCCACATATAAAGGTAAACCACTTTACATTGCATATACCATTTATGCATTCAATAGGATTAATGCCAGAAACAAAAGAAATGCTCTTTTGAACTCATGAATGCTCTCCAGCACATCAAAAATGTTATCCTAGGATTGCCAGTTAAAAAGGAATTGTAGTTTAATTGTATGTAATTCCTGGCATTCATTCTGAATTCAGTATTTTCCAGTCTCTCCCTAGCATCAATATAACCTAACAAAGACAGCTTGAAAACTTCCTCATTTTGCAAAATCTGAATGTCATCCTGCCTAAGCTTGGACCCATTCTAGAGCCAGGAGGTTCTTTGTCTCGAGTAGCAACAGTGGCAAGGCTCAGAATGTTAGTTCAGAGATTTGCCATGGGACTGATACCAAAAATAGGGCCCACAAGAGTTAAATTTAGTATTACAATACTAGAGAAAAAACGGAATGAAATGAGATCAAAAGATTCAAGCTATTGAAGGATATAGACTGAATGTACTGGGGGAGTTTGTTTACAGTGTAGAACTAGAATGAAGAAGCATAGGCAGAAATTGGAAGTCAATGAGCAGGAGAGATTTATGGAACTAGTCCTTCAGTATGAGTAATGAACAGTTGATAGTGGCTAATTCAATCTACAGCTTTCAAAGCAGAAATGATAAAACTGAAGAAGGTCGAGAGTATTACTGTAGTTGTATTGGATACCTGAAAGAAGAGGCCAGCCAATAAGCTGAACCTCATTACCTACAAACACAGACACACATTTTGTGTAAACTTGGATTTCCTTAGTTAACACCAGGTACATACCTGCTTGAACTTCTTCTTCTGAAATTGTGGTCTCTTTGGAACATCAGGAATGGCTTCATTAACAAACACTTCCTTGCCTTTGATGTACCATGGATTTTGCTGTATTGCATCCTTAACATATGCTTTTTTATTAAAGTACACGAAGCAGAACCTAGAACAATTAAAAAGAATTTTTGAAAACTATTTTTCTAAAATTAATTTGGGCATCAATAATCAATGAAGTTTGTGAAACAAACATTTAAACATTCTTTGTTAATTTTCCCAAACATTTTATATACTATACTAAATAAATATAACACAAATTAAACAATACTGTATATTAAATTATGGAGCAATTTTCTATAAATACAGTAAGATAAATTCTTACACTTTTTGATTATCTTCGTTACCAGATGTTCCTTGTTCAATTCTTTCAGCGGAGGGGAAAACTTTCATCACGTCTTCCTTCGTGGTCCCTGCTACGAGGCCTTCAATATACACGCTTCAAAATATGATAAAACACAGCTATAGATGTTGTTAGTGTTCTTCCTGCCTTACTTTCATTTTTATAATGTATTACTGACTAACTTATGGGAAAGAATAATTTGGTATTCTTACAAGACATCTTCCTATGATATATAGATGCCTCTCAAACCATTCTATAAATGACTTTTTGGCAACTCAAATATCACTGAGTTGTTCTCAACCAATGAGCTCTCCAATTGGAAGCCCAATCAGCTCTGGGCCGAGGATAGTGGCTACTGGACATTAAAGCCTACCCTACACTCATAAGATTGAGATTTAAGGAACATGTAATTTCACCAAATGTTCTATTTCTGAGAATATTTTCCCTCAGTACCTCAGCCACCTCACCATGGTGGTACAACACTAAATGCTGAGAACAGCCAGGGTCGAATATAATTAACACAATCAAGGCATATGAATACTTATCAGGTATGACACATCCAACTATATAGCCAACATGGATGTGCATCACATTGTCAAAAATGGTGATGGAGAAACATTTGCTCAAAGACTAGTAAATTGTCTATCTGGTCTGGGTCAGAGTGTATGGATAGGGAGCGACCAAGATGGGCACTCAGGGGCAAGATGTGAGGAAGCAGGGATTCAGTAAACATTGTGCTAGAAGTGGTAAGAAACAAGAGTGAATGTTTATGTGAAAATTGTATTATATTAACGGACAAGTTGAGAGAGAAAGGAAAAAATTTACCCTTAAGCACATAAAAAGTTGCACTGAAATATAAAACTCACGCATTCCATTTTGGGTCTCGAACAGGCTCTCTGTAGGCTTTGTACTTGGTAATAACTTTGATATTTTCTTCCTGTATCACAATACTTGTTACCTCTGTTTTTACTTTGTCTGCTACAGCTTCTGTTGGACACAACACATGAAATTCCCTGGAAAAAATAATAAAAATAAACATTGAGAGGACTGAAATGCAATTTTTTTAAGTTGCCCTTCAAATACTGTCATATATACTAGGTGCTGTGTGACTTTCAGTCCCACCATAACAAGAGAGCTTTCAAATAATCTTGTTATGCACTTGGAGTGGGAAATCAGTAAAGACAACCTTATCCACTACCAAAGGAAAACCCTTTGCTATGACAACAAGGAGTACAACAAACCTCTCGGTACCTCTGCAAGTAAGAATTGACAACACAAAAATTAACAATTATGGTTCAGCTAACAACAGTAGGGTACTTGAAAGAATTAGCCGCTACCCTATGCTACAAGTCGGGTCACATTACAAGGTCGGAGAACCAGCAACCCTCACTTAATGCCCAGGACAACCAAGTATACCAACACAAGCCCAGACAAAAAGGTTAGTAAAAGGAGTAATTAAAAGGGTTGCTCAAAAAGGTGCATGTCATTAATCTCAATGATTTATTTCTGAGCAATGCCTCCCCTCAGTTGCTTCCCAGTCAAGCTTCATAATACAAGCCACTGCCGGAGGGAAATGCCCATAACTGAACGAGAAAAATTACATTAGACTATTTTGTGTTTCATTCTTATATGTTTATGTTCATTGTTCTACAATCCCACCAGAATGGATTTTTCATAAACTTTATACATTTAGAGTTATAATTTTTTTTGGTCTAAGTTTGCTGCATATTTTAAATACTGTACCCTACTGACAATTTTTTTTTTACAGTAAACTACTGAAAGCCTATATTCTAATTTGATGAAAATGAAGATCATATGCTATTCTGAGAGAATAATAACATTAAATGAACAATTAATGATAGTTCATATTTTTTATTCTGAACTGAAAATCTGAAGTTGTCAATATTCAATTTTTAAATTATTTTTTATTCAAGTTTTTCAAGTTACTCTGTGATCATTTAGACAAAGTTGGAGCATTTGCCTAGTTAATTATGCAAAAAAAAAATTGGAAAGTGTTTGGGCAAGTTTTAAAACTTATGTTAAGTTATTTTTCTTCAAATCATATATGTATTGTAATTCTCAAAGGGTTAAAGAGAATAACGTGAAACATTCTTACACACCTGTGAATCCTAATATCAACAGCTTCATCTAGCACCTTCATTAGCTTTATAATATCAGGATGTTTTAATGATTTTTTACTCCTGGGAAGACACAAGTGAATTTCATGCAAGTCGTCACTATGTTCCATTGCCGATACATTTTCTTCACATGACGTGTGTGTGTGCTCATTTTCTGTGGTCCTTTCATTTGGTGATAGTCTGTCATCTGTAATATCATCTTCGTGTTCATCAGCCGAGCCTTCCGAATGAGAAGCTTGTTGTATGCTGGTTTTGCACATGCCCTCCTCTTTACACAAGTCCGGAAAAGTCTAGGAAAGAATTAACAAGCTGAATCATATGAACATTGCTAATTTGGAGCTCACAATATATGTCAAGTGATCTTGCATTTTTATTTACATATTATTTGCTAAGTAGCATGCAAGAAACAAGAAATTTTGACTTGTGCAATTATAAAACAAGGAAGAACCTTGCCTAACTAGGGTAAAAGTCTACAGAGGGGCCGAGCTTGAAAACAAGATAAGTAGGGATGTAGCCAGTGGATTGCACGAAGGAGTGGTAGTGACAACAATTATGTTTGGATTAGAGTTAAGAGAATAGAGTAAGGAATGAAAATATATTGGAAAGATAAGGAGTGCGAATGTTGATAAATCATAACATTAAAAAGAACACACTGAGATGGTTTGAACATATTGAATGAATGGTTGATGGCAGATTGGTGGAAAGAGTGCATTCAAATGAAATATGAGGAAGAGAGGAATGCCAGCAAGAAGATGGGCAACAAAGTAAACAAGTGTGTGAGAAATTGAAAATAAAGCATAAAGAATACATGGGATATGGAAAAGGATAAGGATGGGTGGCAGTGGTTTGTTAGGAAGGAAAATCATAGTACAGTACATCTGGTCTTATGAAACAGTCAGGTGCTTCTGTTGACAAGCATTGGATTGTTCTGATGCCGTTTATCCACAATGATTTACAATGTCAATGATATAATAAATGAACGAGTGCTTTGTTCCCAATATGTACCGATGGCATCGGAACAGCTCTGTTCGAGGTGTCCCCGATGTCATCTCACCATAGAAACTCTGCCTCCAGCCTACACATACGGCCAAATGTCTCGCCAAACTGTAACTATCTCAAATATATATTGTTGATCATTATAGTGTGTTTACTCTGCTCCTGTCAGGAGTATCTTAAAAAGAGTCTAGACCTCTTCTGTGTACAGTCAAATTATTTACATTACAGTATCTTTGGCCTTTCACTATATTGCTCCCATCTCCAAACACAGTGAAATGGGTAATGATGATGACAATAACTGCATCCCTCATATTTAAAATTAACATTGTGCAAAATGTATTGAAGATTTAGTATCATATGGCTAACAGAGAAGACAATACTGTTTTCTTATTATTTCACACACAAGTCAAAAATAAAACATTATCTCTGTGTTTTGCCACTGCATCAAATTGAGATGCAGTATGTGATTTATGCCAGGATACAGAAATGTATTTAAATTTAACAAATCTTACCAAAAAATATACTTACCTCATCCTTTGTTGCTTCCAAATCATTTTTAGAATTTTTAGGATTATTGACCATCAACATTTGCCCATCAAGGTAATATGGCTGAGCTTTTAAAATCTTCAAAGCTTCCTCTTTAGTCTTGAAATACACAAAGTAAAATCTGAAATTCAAAGAAAGTACTTGACAAAACCTTTTAAAATAACATCCATCCAGGCAAGTAGGTGTTTGAATAATAAAAAAAAAAAATTTGTGTATAAAAAATTAATGGAGATAAAAAATATAACTATTAAAATAATAAAGGAAAGTATATCTGTAATACATAGTGTTAAGTTTATAAAACTCTTCCAAAGACAGGGCCGAGACCCACCCAGGACAAAATCCTCTGACCAGACTCTCACCGATTTGTGCTTTATTGTGACAAACAACTTCAAATGGTCTTTTCATCCACCTTGGATAGGGAAAGAGAGAAGATCAAGTTCAGTTAAACAAAAAAAGTTCAACATGACACCAAACACTAAAATTCAAAACTCCAGGATGCTCCTTGCTGTCTTCTCAGGTTTTAGGCAGGATTATTGTATGCTAACTTGTTCTGGACTATTCTGGTGAGTGTGGTTTTTGTCTGCCACTGTCCTGTTGGCACCAGTGATTGTTTATCCTTTATCATAAATGTTTCAACCTTTTTTCTCTTTTCTTAATATCACAATCATTTGAGGCCCTGCCTTCCATGCAAGATGCTTAGACCTCCAGGGCACTGATTTTTTGTGGAACCATATGCGTTATTGATGTACTTTGTCTCAACTAGAACCAGTTTAAGACACTATTTGTTTCCTACAATCAGAATGATTTTCTTGGCTCCCCTTTGAAAATTGAACCCACCAGGACTTCCCTTGTTGCACTAACCTCACTCCCTTCATGGGCCGTCAATTATGAAGATATTAATGGGCTTTCAAACTGTAAGGAAACACACTCCCACACAATGTACTTGCAAAATGTGTGGTGGCCACTGTTGAGTGAAAAGCAAGATCTGATTATGCTACTCACCTTACGTAAAGTAGCTGCTACAGCCTAGTTCTTACAGAAAGATTATGTACATGTTAATCATGCCAGTTTATGATCTTAGAGGTGAGAATAGATGTACTGTATTACAAAGCTATATTGTACTATAAATTTAATATAATTTAAGAATTTGTTTAACTAGGAATATGGCATATAAATTTAACAAAGAAATAAATTTAAAAATAAAAAAGTAACATCTAACACCTTCACTTAGGTAAAAATTATATTCATACCTTTTAGTATTAATTGGGCCGCCAGATGAACGGTAATTGATTTTTTCTGCCGTAGGGAAGATGGCTTGTAATTTATCTTTACTAACTTTGGAATTCATGTTTCCAACATAAAGCCTAAAACAGATGAAATCATATTAGTAAATATATTATATTTTGTACAAATACCAATTTCAGCCAATTTCCTGCATTCATGTCAAGAGATGGTGAAAAAGTGATATAGGAAATGGATAAAGATATTAAAAGATATTTGAAATGACACCCACTACCTTCCACTCAGCAGCAGCATTACAGAAAACTAATATTTATTTATTTATATATATACAAGAAGGTACATTGGGTTTATGAGAGCACAGAGACTTGAAGAATTTACAAGTTTGCAATTTAATTTACAATTATATTTACAAGAATTTACATTCTTGTAAAGCCACTAGCATGCATAGCGGTTCGGGCAGAATAAAATAATAATATCACCACATATCCCCAGTAGTATCTGAGCAGCATTCCAGAACCAGTTCTTTTCATTTACACCATTATGATCTGACATGTTAATAGCTGTATGTGTTGTCTGTTGAAGTGTGCGTCATTATTTTTGTTCTGTAAAATGTGTTAATTTGAAGCAAGTGAAAGCTTTAGTCAAAGTCCATAAATCAAGTTTGCTTGTTCTGATGGGCTGTATTGTAATGGTTTGGTTGAGCTATGTCTTGAGATTCTGTCTTTTTCCCAGGCAACAATGGCTGATGTCTGTATATTTATACTTTGTAGGAACTTCCCTCAATGTATACTTTGCATTAGAGTGCAGGTGTCTTAACTAATTTTCTGTTAAAGCTAAAACTATTCCAACACTTGAAACAAATTGTTTTTGTCACTTGCCAAAGTGATAATTTGTGTCCCTACATTTTCTGAAAGACTTCAATTGTTGTGTTTGTCCCTTTAAAATAATGTGATTATAGCGCACAACAGCTGCATGAACTCTTCAATAGCACTAGACATAGTTATCAAAATGATGATTATTGAAGAATTCAAAATATACTTTAAATATCTACAATTGTCAAAGCATAATTTTTCCCAGTCAATAAAGATGAGTCACAATAACGTGGCCGAAGATATGATGACCAAACCACGACTTGATAACGGTCCAGGACAGACCGAAACGTTGTCGTTTCTTGACTTTCTGATGTGTGGTTTGGTTGTCATATAGAATGTATTATTCAAAAAGCAAATAATTAGTTCTACAACTAAGCCATAGAGCCAGTATGGTACAGTATTCCAATTTCTGCATTATTAACTTTAGCAATACAGTACTGTACTGTTGAGACCACTGCCTCTTGAACTGAATTGTTGCTTGAATGCTTAAAGAAAATGTTTACAAGTGCCTGTCATACAACAGTTTAATTAAAATGTTGTAGTTGAGAAGTTGACTCGTGACAAATGATGCCTGACAGACAACATACCACCTAAGGTGAGGTATGCCAAGGCAACGCAAGAACACTGCACGAAGTAAATTAAATGTATGATGTTCCCACAGCACTCATACTTACGGGTAGAGATCCCTCTTAGTCAACTGAACAGCTATATTTACATCTGAAAATAGGATCTTCTCTCCTTCCATTTGAAAGTCATTCACTTTGGCTTTCAATATATTTGCCTCAATTTCAGATCTACATGATACAGTGATATACCTGAAAAGGAAAATTATATGTAATATACAAGCTGTATAAGGAAAGTGGTGATAAAATACAAAATATAATACTGTACATTATATAACCAAATTATCACTACAATTATTGTTGAATCATTAATCTTAATAATTAACAAAAACTAATTACAGTAACTACAAATTTTCACAAGATATTCACATATTCAATACATCAGACCTATTTACAAAACTGTTCTTTCCAATATTAGTTACATTGCAGCCGATATTTTCTTTATTTGCTATAGATTTAACATGTTGCTCTCTTCTTGACAGAATCCAACTTAAGGCTATAAGCCTCAAAAGTGGTCCACCTATCAGAGGCATTCTCTTGCTCTCTCCCTAATACAATAAGGTGCAAGAAAATGTGAAGCACACACACACTTCTCCAATCTTAATAAAACTTAATTATTTAATTATTGATACCCGAGAATATTAAAATTAAAAAAAAATACTGTACAGTTCAGTAAAAATATACCTGTTGATGTTAATTTCATCAGTAGTTTCCTTCAGATATTCAATTAACTTAATAATTTCAGGGTCCTTCAAAGAGAATGTTGGATTTTTCTTTGGTAGACTTATCATTAAATTCCATCTTTGAATAAGGGGTCTACCATCCTTACCAGCCTTACGTAAAATCTTTGCCTTTTTGTTCAATGGCTGCTGCTTTGTTGCAGTTTGGGGTATTTTCTCACATGACAAAGCTTGACACTCCAATTTTCTCTTTGTTGATTCATTGCTAGATCCTGTGCTCTCCTGTAAAAAATAAAAAAAAAAATAAAAAGAGGAGGGGGCATTACAAACAAATGGTAGAAAAAGAATTGATGCAAGGTCATCACAGTTGAGCATATTAATATAGTGAAAATGAAAGAAAGGATTAATTGAAAATGAAAGGAGTGGTATAAATGAAATGAGGCATGCTGGAGTTGGTGAAATGCAAAACACTTAGGTGTTATGGATATATTAATGGGATGCCTGATAAACTTTTAATTGGAAAGAACAAAAAGTGAAATATGGGAGATGATATGGTAGAGGAAGATGACCAGTATCTCAGAAGTAAAGAGTAGGCGAAATATATATATATATACAGTACAGTATATGAAAGAAATGGTTGGAGGGGTAAGAGAGCATAAAAAGACCGTTCTGGAGAATATATTTATTTAGATTTAAAAAAAAAAAAATAGCCATTTTTACATTTTAATTCAAGGTTATCATTTTCCACTTGTATTCTTTTTACATAATTTTAGCATCACCTAACATATATATATATACAGTACAAAATACAGTATACACATCTGATGTGATATATTCTCAAAATGTTTTTATCATTGTAATAAATATTTTAAGAGGTCAAAAACATACCTCCTTATCATTAGTCTCTCTCTTCTGATTTAATGCCTCTTGCTGCTCCTTGTGTTCCTTTGGCGGCTGCTTTAGTATATTTACAGTTGCTTCAACACCGTTGATATGCCACGGCTTATTTTCTAACACCATCTGAATGGCATCTGCAGTCTTGAAGTAAACGTGGAAATATCTGGGAAATGTGGAAATACTGTAAATACTGTATATTATTAATTAGTAATACAAATAGGGGCAATCAGGGAAATGAAAACTTTTTTCTGAGCAGACCCCTCAGTTGCTGCCAATACCCTTCAGCTACTATCACATTTTCTATGCCATCTCCTACCAAAGGTCTAAATGCAGCATAAAAACTCAATTTTAACATTTTCTTTTTTAATTAACGTCTCCATTTTCTTTAGAAAATACAGTCCAAGTAACACAACACCAGAATATGTATTACAAGGACATGTAATATCATTATAAATAGCACTTGACTGGCAAGCCTTAGAAACTGCACCAGGCCTCTAAAACTCACTGAAGACCACCAGGAGCAATGCCCAGGATCTGTCCCTATCAAGCAAAAGAATCATGGGAATCAAAGATCATCCCAAAGTTGAGGAAAACTCCACCAGAAAGTACTGCATAAGTGCATCAAAACTTCATTCATTCTGCAAATTATCATTTGCAGAATGATAGTTATTGATTTTGGAATTTATGATTTTTCTTTGAATGGGGTGTCTGAGTGTCATGATTCATCAATTTGTATTATAGTAAACTATTGCTACAAGTGGTGGCTTCAGTTACAATCACCACTGTCTCTCCTCTCTAGATACCTGTCATGTTGGGAATGAAAGTCACAAGAGTCTTGAATGGCCCATATAGGTCCACTCAATAGGTTTATAGGTCTGACTATGGTAGCATCTGAGGGACCTTAAGTGAGAAACAGCATAAGAAAGTGAATAATGAATAGGTGTGGAATGCATAGCAAAAAAATTACTTTTATATATATACAGTATGTACTTTGCAAGGGAGAGATTTTTAAGGGTTAGATTTCCAAATCTCAATACTATTCAAGTAATTTATAAAGCCACACAACCGATTACCTACACGAGTAAATCAGAATCGCCATTTTCACTCCCAAGATGCTTCTCAACTCGCTCAGCCTTGGAGAAGACATCCATCACATGGGTTTTAGTAGTGCTTGATGGAAGGCCTCCAACATACAGACTAGAAAACAAACAAATACTGTAAAATGCAGATCATCATCATGAAATATACAATGACATATAGTACCAAATTATTATTATGAACCATTTTTACATTATAATCACTAATGAAAATCATAAATAATTCACTAAAGACCAAAGACGTAAATTGCAATATATTTAGGTAAAATTAAAGCTAAATCTTAATAATAAACTAATGAACTTAATAAATATTCGATCTTGACAATAAACTAGCAATAATTTAGTGTAATCAGTACAGGCTGGGATGAAGGAATGCACTGGAGGCAGATCCACTAAAGTTTCAACCTCAAAATGGAATGTCAGGTGCATAACCCCTGTGACCCAAAGACAGATTCAAGGTAGTTTCCTGTCATGAGCTCTAAAAGCAAGAGTAGCCATATACCAAACAAAAATATACCAAGACCCATGCACATTTAACTTCATAAACAAAGATAGTGGTAGAGAGCATTTACAACCTCCCCCCTTCCCCCCACTAAAAACCAGAAGGTTTAGGGAGGAATATGATATAAGCAATGAAACCTACTAGAAATTAATGAAGAAGGTGGTTAAAGTGGCAAGAAAATAGAGATTTTAACAACAGAAAAATTAACCAAGTAACGAAACCTATACATGTATAATGAAGGATAGAAAAGCAAAACTGATGGATATAGCAGACAAACACTTGTCTTCATTATTTGTTGCCTCACAACACAAAGAAGAGTAACCTGGATAGCTATCACTGGTACATGCATTTCCTCAACACTTCAGTGTTGTTGCAGCAGTACAGTATATACTTTATTCAAATTTATATGTAATAAAGTTCTTGGTAGTAGAACAAAACCGTTTCTTTAACTTGTGTAGGCAGCAAAACCCAATGATTGTCTTAAGAGGAAACAAAGTATCTAAGACATAGGTTCTTGTATAAAGACAAAATAAGACAATTCCAGGAGAAAATGTAATTCAAGATTTAATTAGATTTAATTAATTTAATTTAATTAAATTAGAAAAGATTTAAAATGTAATTCAAAATGTAATTCAAACTTACATTAAAGACTCATTCTCATGTGATTCTGTTTTTGGAACATACAGTGTTTGTATATCTAGCATCTCTCCATCAAGTGTTTCTTGTTGGAGCTCCACCTTCAGTTTCTCGGCCTCGGTTTCTGATCTGCTTGATATTGTAATTGTTCTGGAAAAATAAACACATTTGCCTCTGGCTATATACACTTAAGTCATTTTAATACAGGATAGACAAAAATGCTTAGGAAGAGAGACCTTTAAAACTTAACTCCCTTTCCTCTTTTTAACATTATGGCATTCACTACTGCAAATACTGTACTGCATTTCTCAGTCTTTAACTAACATCTGACTTAAATTTAAATCTAAGACTATTAAGTAAATGAAAATTACCTTTTGAGTAGAATCATTCAGTTGCTCCATAAAATAAACTTCCTCTGTTTTACATTAGCAGAATCATGTAACTTTTTTAAACACTCAAGACCACTTTAGGAAGTCACTGGTGAAAAACTCAATTTACCTTTAAATGACCAGAATGAGTAAATTTATGAAACTAAAAGTCCTTCCAAACCCTCCTAGGTTGTGTGAAATGTAGAGCAATGTATATTATGATGGTCATTCAAGACTAGATTGAAAATTCTCTCGTCTCTCATCCTCCTCGTGGTTGGCAGGGACATTTGAACAGATCCCTGTTGGCTTAGGATAGGCAAAAGTTACTCTGGGCAGAAGCAGAACTTGCCTGTGGAAGTGACCACATTCAGCACCTTATTTTTAGCAAATATCTAACAATTTGTATAATATTTGAGGCTGGAATAGCCAGGAATCCATCCATTATATTTCTCATCCAGACAGTCTGGATAACAGGAAGATGACTACTGTATATAGTATTTGAAAATTGGTTAAACCAGACAGTATTAAAATGGTTCTATGGTTCCAGCTAGCAAAGTACAGTACTGCAATGTGTGGATCTTATAGCTATCCATTGCTCTGTAATAATCTGTATAATAAAACCAATCACAATATATCCAGTAATCAATATTACTCTGTAATAAACCTATCAAAATGACCCTTATTGTTACGATATCAATGGTTGCTACAGAGTGAGGTGTGGTGATATCAACGCCGTCTATGGACCTGCATTCCAACTCCAAGGCATTAGGCAAGACGCAGACAAAAATACGGAAGTGTGGCGTCTGTGAAAGGCTCCTGTTTCATACGTCGGTTAGGAGATGAGGTCGATGATGATGATGACCTCTGGTGAGAGAAGTAATGATAACAATGCCATCTAGATTGTGCATCCGATTACATTTCACAGTTCCCTAGAGAAAGGTTCCCATTCTATGTTCTCCTTGTATACTTTCTGTCTGGCTAATGACTTATGTTCACAGAGGTGACACGGAAAGTCTATTGCAATGTGGAAATCAGTTCACTTTGGGCAGTCCAAAACTCTTGACTTGTTTCCTGCGAGGACAAGTGGCCACCATCAGTAGTAAGCAGTGTGTTGGCTGTTATACTTAGGCAGTGTTGTGTGGACTGATGTACCCGGGATTTGGCCAAGAGGAGTTAAAAGATGATAGTAGTGGCCATCTGCCGATCAGTGCTGCTAGTGTGTCCCAACACACTACTGCCAGGATGTTAGAGATCACAGAGAGTGATTATTTGTGACCCCTGTCAGTGTGTAGCTGAAGCCCCTCTGCCAGTGTGTTTCTAGAGAGTAGATGTGGGGTATTAGGACATTGTGACGATACGGTGTGTGGACTGGCTCGTGATGAGGAAGGTGAACTCGCCGGTGATTGCCACTGAACATGGACGATGTATACTTGAAGATGGTGGACTCCCCGGATTTGGAAGAACACTGCAGATATATTGAGTGTCCTGTTTGAAAGCGACACTGTGTACAGAAGTGTAGTTATACTTCTATAGATAATATTGGTGAAGGTGTAATTGCATCTTGTTTACCCCCCTTTTATTCCTTGCACAATTACTTGCTACTATCAATTCTTGAGAACCTACCAATGGCTTTTGGCAAGATCATAGAAGAGGCTTTAAGTCACTTTACATAGAAAGAACCCGGTTACTGGCTCAAGCAGGGCCATAACTCTTATACGTATTTGCTTCTATAAGGCACCAGTACAAACTTTAACCCAAAGTTTTTAATTTGAAATAATAGAAATCAAAACTGTTAAATATGGATTCTTTAAAATTAAATGATACTTGACCACATTCTATACTTCACTTTATTTATATTGAGGAAAATGATAGCAATGGTTTGCTGCAATATGTTTAGCATTTACCAGAAATTTAAACAGGTTGAAATAGATGTAAATGAACCAAACTACTACAGAATAAAGAAACTAACAAAATATTGGAGATTTACCCGTTTCCCTTCACAACATCTGCCCGCTTCATCAATTCTAGCAATCTTGGAGCATATGGATTCTTAAAGTTGTCAGAGTTTTTTGGAAGATGAATAATAATATCCCAAGATTCCCTATTACTTGTACTAGAGATATTTGGCTCTTCAATCTGGTCTTTCATTATGACATCATCAGATCTACTGTTCTGGTCTCTTGTAATGTCATCTGATCTCTCATTCTGATCTCCCAAGGGGTCTTGTGATTTTTCTTCCTCTTGTAAACTTCTTTCTTTGATTGTTTCAACTGACATTGTAATATCTTCTGCCATAGGCAAATTATTTCTGAAAAGTAAGAAAAATTGCATTTTCAGAAATGCTATACAGTATATGGCCTAAAACAAACTTATCTGGAGAACCAAACAATACACACGATACACTATATGGGTTAAACAATGTTGGGTTTGGCCAGAAACTGGTTGGGTGACCACATGTGAAACCTCACCATTGGCTAAGGCCCTCAATAAATTTAACAGACATGTTGTCTCTCCTAATGGTTCATTAATATAGTAGGAGGCACTTGACCATTCAGTTGAGCACCATTTGATTGACCAACAAGGCTGGTCACCTCAATGGTAACCACCTTAACCTGGTTTGGGGCATCTCAACAAGCCTAATAAAAGCTTCCTGTGCAATAGACATTGAGTACAAAACAAATTTACATACAATTATTATAAGGATGAATTTTCACAAATAACCACTATACAATTTAAATAAAAATCTTTTAATAATTACATACTATACACAGTAAAAAAAATATCAACCATATTTCAAGTCTATGAAGTGACCACAGCACTGTACTGCTCACAAAAAAGTAAGGCATCATGCTGCTCTCACTAAGATCTATTTCTGAGAGTAATGACTATTATTAACTTCAATTAAGTAAATTAAGTTTGGCCTCTTTGTATCCAATACCGTAAAGAGCTGAGATCTGATTGGACTGTACAGTGCAGGAGGAACAATAAATTACAACTCTGGGAATGAGTATGAGGTTCCACAGTATACTACCATTCACACAGGATAACTTAGGGGTTTTAGACTTAGGTACAGACTTAGGTGGAGTCTGTGTGAAGACTTTCCTCTCCAGATGAACCTCGCACCATAACAAACTGGTGCACTGGTCGCCTTCGTTGAGAATTGCTCAACGACGGCTCCTTTTCCCTTGCAATTTAATGATCGGTTGAAATTAAAAAATATTTTTGTTATTGCTATTTGGTATTGCTTTTGTTATCTGTTTTTTAAGTAATGTTATTGTGATCAACGGTGCTTACGGGCAATTAACTGTAATAAAATACAATGGCAATATGCATTTATTATTTTAATGTATCTTGCTTATACAACACATTAGACCTTATTGTATATATATATATAAGTACATATTTTGTGATTAAATGTTACATTCTTAAAAAAAAACTTTTACGATACGAATTTGTTCGAATTAATCTAATATATTTATATAATATACCTATGATACGAACACCACCCAGTCAAATATTTCCTAAATCAAATTGGGAAAATATTAATTTTCCCACATTATATACTTATGAAATTTAACACAATCAATTTCAACTTCTATATTGGCAAATGAGCGTAAGTAAATAGTTATGTGTGGAGCGTCCCACGTGGGTGTCTGCGGCGCCTGTCAACACTGCTGCCCGCCATGGTGTCTTGCTGCTGCTGGCGTCCTCTCCGCTTCTCCTCCTCCCTACAGTAACACACTCAGGTAATACCTCGCCCGCTTGCTTCTCCTTCCTCTAGGACACCTCACATCCTTCTTGTGCTGCTATAGATATGCTAGTAGTTATGATTCTGTACTAGAAAAGTGATCTCTTGAGGTTATGAGAATGAACCGCGAGGACCCAAGGCAATGAATGCAGTTAACAAAATGACTGTAATTAACACTTAAAGTGTTCACAAAGGTCTCCGTGGTTAAAACTGTGATGGTACAGACTTCGTAAGCAATATACGAGCCAAAACTTAAACATTTCATAATGTTTGTAGTTTTTATTTTCAAGAGCAGGAATGTCTGAGAATGGCATGATTTTTGGCCCTTTTTCAATCCAACTCAAAATTAAAGTATTGTAAAGCTGAGGAAGTCTTGGTATAGTCAGTATTATCTCTGTCCATATCTCGCCAACCAGTCGACGAAAGATGTAGGGCCGGCAGGAGGTAGGGTGATGACTGATCCATCTAGTTACCCAAAGCTTCCTTGCATTAAGTATTGAAGTACGATTTATTTACTAACTATAATGTTTGTGCTGAACGTAGAACATGAAAAAATATATTTTTCCTCTGAAATATGATTTTATAATAAAATTAGGTCCATCTAATTACCCAAAGCCGCAACATTGTTGCTTGGATCGTCGACTTCCTGTGGCATCACCTGCCACATAGTTTTGTCTAATTTCATTCTACAATTATATTATTTCAAAGTAAAAATATGTTTTAACATGTTATACATTCAGCACCAACATTATATTGAGTAAATATATTATAGTTCATCACTTACATAATGCTCGGAAGCTTTGGGTAATTAGATGGACCGTGCAGATTTGCAGTCCACATAGAGCAGCACCATAGCCTTGCAGAGAGATATGGCCCTGACTTTGCAGAGCCATGCAAAGTGTGAAGAGTTCGCTCACTAGACTCCCATGATGTGGAGAAATCATCCAGGTGTTACAAACCGACGAAAGACGGCTTCTGAGGTTGAATGGTGGGGGGGGCAATTGTTTGGGAACCGTCAGTGTAAGCTGGTAAATAACTCGTGTAAAGGGAGTCGGAGAACTACAAGAAGTGAGAGGTCGGGGCACCCTCCCTGGCAATGCATCAAAAGCAATAAATGCTGTTAATCTAATTTAGGATAACCACCCCAAATCCACAATCTACCTTTCTATTCAGTGTTTTGAGAGACATTATTTAAGACTTTGCTAAGGTCAAGTATGGTACAGTATTGTACTGTAAATGTGGAAGGAATATTTGCTTTATTTGAAATTTAATAACAATTCAGAAATAAATTACAAATATATTTCTTTTGATAATGCTTATTGATTGTATTTAAGATATTCAGTGTTTTCATTCATTTTGTTGGCGACAGGAAGTATTTCAACAAGGTTGAACTACTTGCTTTCCCTGAGATGCAACCCCATAACAGTTGTCTAACTCCTAACTCCTGGGTACCTATTTACTTCTAGGTGAACGGAGGCATCAGGTGAAAGGAAACTTGCCCAACCATTTCTGTCCACTTGGTGATTGAACCCGGAATTCTCAATTGTGAGTTGAGAATGTAACACTGTACTGTACTACTGAGACCCCTTTGGGAACACTTATGACATTGATGAAAAGACGGTGTTTTTATTATTAGAACTATAATAGTATATTTTAGTTTTCTAGTTTTTCAACACCCACGGGGGACGCTAAATAAAAGATTTAACATATACCGAGATATTACATCTGGGATTGCTTTCTCAATCACTTGTCTATGAAGTACACTGTAAATTCTGGTGTTTGAACATTGAAGAATTGTGGCAGGAGAAAACACTGCTATCCTGGGAAGATGAGGATTGGGTACTATAGGATATTTCAAGTTGGAAATTAAAGATTTTTTCTTTTCATGCTTCCAATAATCTGACTGATGTTATACATAAGTATGATCATAATTCTGAGTTCCCTTATGTAAATCAGGTTAAATATGTTTTTAAGTTGGAATTTGCCTATCATGTTTAACACAGTTTTTTATGGTTTCAGGTTCTGAAGAGGTCATCAGGTTCCAGATAGAGGTGATTAACAAACTACACAATTTGTACAAGAGAGATATCCATAAAGCACTATGGCAAAGGAAGAGGGAGGAAATGTGAAAATAGAAAATAATGATAGTCAAGGAAAGTTGCAGGAAAATAAAGGTGCTGGTAAGAAGAAAGGCAATAAAGGTAAAGCAGGTAAAATAGTAAATAAAGGTGGAGGGGGATTAACAGCTGGAAATGATGCCCTGAACACCAGCAAAAATCTCACTCAAAATGTAAAAGCAGGCTTGAAAAATAAGAAGCAGAAAAAAGCGGCCAAAACTCGTAAAGCTAAGGAGGAACCAAGAAAGCGAAAAAGACCTGTTGACTGGGGCACTGAAGAGGTGAGCTTTTACTTTTATTTATTATGGTCAACCCAACCACTTAGACTAGTCGGTAGAGCGACAACCTTGTTTCTTACATGATTGGTACTTCGTTCCCGATGGTCCAAATAGTTGGAGACACTTCCTTCATTTTGTTGTCCAATCCCAACCTTTATTCCACTGTTCATTATAACATTTTTACTTTTTTTTTTTTTATCTCGTAGACCTAGCACATTAAATGAACTTTACTACTAGAAAAATTCTAGTGTCAACTTCATCTATTCCATTTTTATTCCTCTCACATGCCTCACAACCATACAAATTACCTTTCCTTTGTGACCAGGTTAGGTGTAAGCCCAAAATCCAAAGCTATTTTCATTTTGACATTGAATGGGAAGAAATTTGTAGGTAGATCCCCAACCCAATTCTCCTTCCCCTATAATAATGTCCAGCTAATTACATCACATGATTTTTTAGGTCAAACTAAAGGAAATACTATTTGATGCCCAAACCACATATCTGATGGAGAAACTACAATGTTTCTGTTAGTTCTGGACCATTGTCAAGTCGATGTGAAATAGTATTTGATCATTTTTACATCCACACAACTATATAGTACAATATTTGTTGTGCAATAAATTGTATATTAGCATATTATCTATTTTTTAAGTTTTATGTTCAGTGATTTTATATTACACACCCTGTTGTCTTTTACTAGCTGAATTCTTTAATTTACAGATGAAACTTAGTGATGGGCTACGGGCAGAGCATGAAGGGCGGGCGTGCAATAGGGATCTGAGGACCCTTTATGTTCGATTTCCAAAATCGCTAAAAATTTCCAAGGGTACAGAAGTAATGGACTTAGTGAAGGAAGCAATTGATGTACGCTTACCTCGAGGGAGTTCGGTCAATTTTTGCACGTAAGTTGACAACAGATAGAAAAACTTGCCAAATTTTTTAATATAAATTTCTGTTTTACTCTTCTTAACATAATTTAATCTATGAGCAATATGACATTGATATAATTACATTCTTTAAGTCATTTGATGCATCACATTAGTGTGATTTTTGTGTGTAATTACATTGTTATTTGTTACATATAATTTGTTTCTGCGAGTATACCTACCACTTACTTTGGTACTACTGTTGCTTTATACAGTGGCAGTGTCATAACTAGTGGGGATGACACAAAACTTTTCAAAATATTGGGAAAATCATTACACTTTGGAAAGGTTTATCCTGAGTTAGTCCTTTGTTCTTACAATGACTTCAGTAATACACCATCTTGAAGCTAGAACAATCTGTTTATTTAGCACTGGCAGTGGGGAGTGACCTTACTTATGCCCTTGTAGATTTTAGTACCTGGTGTGTTTATAAATCTTAACGTTACGGTTCTGTCATATTTAAGTGCATTCGGTTTTTGACCACCTGTACTGAGTACTTTGTTATTTCTGTGATGTTCTTTCCTTTCCAACTTCTGATGTCCTCTTATCATATTTTCTCTATTTTTAGGAGGCTTGCATCAGTAATATTTATTGTCTATATAAACAATCTACCAGAGGGAATTCAGTTAAATAAATGTTTGCAGATGTTGCTAAGTTACTAAGGAGAGTGAAAAACATGGATGACTGCCATGCCCCACAAAGTAACCTAGACAAAAGCAGTAAATGGAGCCAAGACATGTCAGATGAATTCAATGTAAATAAGTGCCATGTAATAGTTTGTGAAATAGGGGGAAACAAAGTGTCAGGAATTAACACAGTTGACAGAGGATTTTTTGACTCCTGATGTTTTAATGCCTGCAACTTTATAAACAAGAAAGAGGCCATTTATTCAAGCTAAGGAAACAATGGTGCAAAAAAAAAATACATACATATACATACAAAGTTTTCTTTTCTGAAGAGATTTGTAGACAACTGGAACAATTTAAGCTGGGTGGTGGTAGATGCCAACACCATGAGTAGTTTCAAACCATTGTTTGACAATGATTATAGGGACAACAGGACATCATGAGCTTAGCTCTCATCATGTAACTACACTTGAGTAATTAAACATATGCAGAGCCAGTAATATCTGGCAACTCTTCTCGTTGGAGACCATCTGAGGCTAGCACAATATTGTGAACTCACTGCCTGTCCCTTCCTTACCTGTCTTTCCTCTCTCGACCATAATTGCCACCCGTCATTTCTCACTGCCCTTGATAAACTACTGTTTATTCCAATATTAAGAGATAAAACTGGACAGTTCCGATTAGAAACAATTCTGTTTTAATAATTTGTTAATATTACAGACATTGTTTCTTGGAATTTAAATCTGAAGAAGAGGCTGATCGAATGAAAGGTGAAATTGCTAAAATGAAAGTGAAAGATGAACCATTCTTTGTTGACTATGTTGGGAAGAAGTCCACATACTGCAGTGCAAGACAACCAGGCCCTGTGAATCCTCTCAAGTGAGTCTTTTGTATTGGATTCTCACATGTTTAATTTATACAGATTAATCCTTCTACACATGATACTATTTACCATATCATGGCTTTGCTGCACGATAAGAAATGTTAGCAAGAAAGTCTAATGGGCTCAAGGAAATTAGTTATTTTTAATTATGAAATGCATTTTCTCCATCCCAATGATGCATATATTCCAAATTTGTTTTAAGTAATGATTTTTCCTTTACATTATTGTATCTGCAGATACATTTGACGTTTTTGTTTACAAAATTTGAGTTAAACGTTCTCATTGCCACTAGTACCATTGCTTAGTGACATCAATTGGAGGGTAATACTATTCATAAAACACAATAGTTTCAGAAATTTGGTATTGTTGGTACTGTGTGTTATCAATGTTTGGAGTGCAGAGTGATCAAGAAGGATTTATTATGTCCAAAATTAACGAAGGATTGATTCTATTGTTTCTTGTGCACCCTGTTGACAAGGACAGTCTTTAAATTTAGATAAAATTGGCCCATTGTACATTAGTGGAAGGTAGAAATGGAAAATAATGTGTGTCAATATACAAACTATAGTGTCTGGAAATTAATGCTATGACAGTGATTATCAGTAGGAAAGAAGATTCTGTATAATGTATTGTAATACTGCATAATTTAAATTTTATATTTTATTGTGTAGTGAGAGTAGATAACGAATATAGTAACTGAATGTTCATTATTAAAATGTCAATTATTTATAGATTGTATATTGGAAGTGTGCCAATGGATACCACACGGGATGACCTTAAGAATGTTTTTCATACATCAGAACGCATTGACTACTCAAAAAAACAGAAAAATGTACGAACACGGTAAGATGAAATAATTAATGTTTGTTTAATTTTCTTTAAGTTTGTGTGTGTGTGTGTGTGTTGGGGTGGGGAGGTGGGGGGTCTTTCCATGCTTTATGGTACTGTACTCTTCATGACATGTATAACTGGTTTTGTGTGCACTTCATGCTGCCAAAGCTATCCACTTCAGTTATGCTTTAGGGTTATTTTCCTTTCTTTGATACTGTTGGACAAAGTCCAGCAACCACCCACCTCCCCAGCAACATATTTCTGAAGCCAATTTCATGTTTTACCTCCTTGTGGGTGTTTCTTGGCATTGTTCCCTGTCTTAGTTGGATTCTACTGTTAGAAGAATAACAAGAATGGAAGTCAATAAAATGTCATGGGAGAGATGTGGAATGTAAATGTGAGTAAGCCAAAAGATTGAAGAGTGTGTATGAGCCGAAGGTTGGTAGGTAGGTGAATAGATTGTGTTTAGGTGAATTTTGATGGGAAATAGAGGGTGAGTGTATGAAGAATAAACTACATATGGTAAAAGATAAGTTTGGGTGTTAAAGGTTTGTAAGGATCGGGTGAAAATTTGTACTGTATGACGGTTCACAAGAACCACTGTACATCCGAGTTTTGTGAAACAGCTGCGTGGTAGGATTTTTTTTTTTTATCGTGATACATGTTTTAAATAATTTATTATATCAATAACATTATTTCACTATCATTTGCCCTTTTCAAATCTCCGCCTAAGGAAAGTGTTGTTTATTGACTTGATTTCCATGTCTTTTGATAACCTTTTCATTCCTTACTCTTTTTAACATGACATGCTGACCTATAATCTGAGAAGCATTACCACCCCTTCATGCAGCCCTGTGAGGGGGGTTTCTAAACAAGTATTCATTGCACCAGCCACTTTCTTTCTGTTGACTTGCCCTACTTCATTTGCACAAATTCTTTCTTTTCATCATTCATCCATATTTAAACTAAATAGTCTTCTAGCACTCCACCTTTCATATTTCTTGCTCATTTTGTTTTCTCTTCACTACTATAATTTTACATGTGTCCACATTAACTGAAGTCTTCTATTACACACATCAATAACAAAAATTAAACTATTCTAAATAAATTATATGAAATGTATACATCAAATTTCATGTACTTCAGTGACTTGTATAAAGTCTAATGTAAGGTTTGCACCTCTTTCCAGCATTGTTACCCTTAAATTATTTATATATATATAAATTGTATATTTTGAATAACCAGGGTAACATTACGTAACCTTAGCAAAGGCATACCCCTACATTAATATCAAACTAGTCATTCATTACATCATTAACTCAGAAGCCTTTCTTGGTATTTAAAGGAACTCCTCACATGCTTATCACTGCATCCTTCTCTACAAAACTTTATCATACATTTTATCAAAATCCATAAATGTCATGAACATCTGATAATCCCTCTAACTTATCTTCTGTACAAGCTGTCTTGATGCAAATCTTTGATATACATGCCTTCTTATCTTCAGAACCCACCTTGACCAACACTGATAAATTTCTCAAGTTCTTGAACTGAACATGTACTGTGATGGAGGTGGATGGGTACATTTTAATTTTCCAAGGGATCAAATGGTGTCTAGATCAACACTCGGTAGCAAGCTATAATTTGTTCACATTTGTTTTTAATATTTTCTTTCAGATTTGCTTTCATAACTTACAAAACTAAAGAAGAAGCCCTGAGAGTATTTGAGTCATCCAAAGACCTAAAAATCAATGGAAAGGAAGTTACCGTTATGTTTGCCAGAGCAAAGAATACCAATATTACTGATAAAACTAAAGTGGAAGAGTCTCCTACCAAGAAAATGAAGGTAAGATATTATGTGATAAGTCATGATTTATTGAATACTGCATGCCAGTCTTCTCTTGCCTACTTAGTTATCAATGTACACTGTACAGTATATTCTATATAATATGTACTGTATTGTATTTATTCTAACTAAATCAGTTGGTCAGTGGATAAGAAATAATGCAGTAAGAAAATTAAAGAAGGGGGGAAGGATGTAGCAGAAGAAATCGCCAAACCATTATGACTATAGCATTGGGAAGGGATCAGGATAAGGATTTTTGGATGGGACGGAGGGAAGGAATGGTGCGCAACCACTTGGACGGTCGGGGATTGAACAGCGACCACCATGAAGCAAGACAACAAGATTTGGTTCATGGAATGGATGTACAGTATCAGTTACTGCCTTCTTTATCCTCCAACGGAAAAAAGAAAGAGATGGTACCAAAAAAAGCTTTATTTCACTCACAAGTACTGATTGGTATTCACTGCAAACACAGGTGTCTCGTGAATTAGTCATAACCACCACCATGCTTATTACTGCAGTTTATACTCCTTAATGAACCATGTACTGTGCTGTTAATTCCAATCTCTATCTTGAGATCAAGTAAGGCATCATATTTGTTTACTTATTTATCTAAGGATTTTGCCATTTCTAAACCAAATACAGTATCTGAACGTGTATTGTGTTCCCTTAGATACAAGGTCTTTAGAACATTCTCCACAAAGCTTGGGAGTCTTCTGTACTTATTTCCTGACTTGCACTTCCTTTTATCTTGAAAAATGGTAAATGTACTTAAGAGATGATGCAAATAATTCCTATCTTACATAATATTTGTATCATGTGTGTGTGTGTTTTCATGTAAATCTGTACAGTATAGTGTATTTAATCTTCACTATGGCCATATCCTCATTTCATATCTTATACTTTGCTCATATGCATTTATTTTTTTAAGACTGGAAAAAAGGATGTAGAGGAAAAGAAGGAAGATAAGGAAGTGGAGGAGAAGGAAGAGGAGGAAGATGAAGAAGATGAAGAGGAGGAGGATGAAGATGAGGAGGAGGAGGGTGATGATGAGGAGGAGGAGGATGATGATGATGAAGATGAGGAGGAGGATGATGATGAAGAAGAAATGGATGCAGATAGTGAAGAGGATGAAGAGAATGGTAATGAGTGATGTGTAGATAACTAAATCATTATATTTTCTGAAAATTTTAAAATTAAAATATACAAGATTTACTTCCGAATGTTTGTAATTCTTAATGAAATATACAAGTTATAAACAATTAGATATTTTTAGTTAACCCCTTAAATCATTTTAGGTTTGCATTGTATAGATAATAAGATGTCTTCTTTTTCACATGAAAATTAATGCTTCAGAGAAGTGCCTGTGGCCATTGTCAGCATGTCGCCTAAAAGGCATTGTAAAACTTCGACTATATTAAATGTGCAGAATTGAGTGGGTGAAGACAACTGCATACAATAATAAGTCATGGATGTCTTCAGCCTGGAATATTAATTAGTTTTTTAAAAATAAAAAATTGAGTCCATATTCCACAGCATTTTTGCCAAATATAATACTGCATTTCAATACAGTAATCAGAAAGTGAATGAGACTTTAGTGGCTATAAAATTCCGTCAAATTCCACGGGAAAAAAATCTCGACTCGAATCCAGTCCATCGAAATCCAAGGGGAAAAAATCGACTAAAAATCCTGGCTGTTGAGAAAAGCAAACCAGCTGGGAATTTAATCATCTTCCATCATGATGGTTAATAGTAGTGAGACTACAAAATTAACAAGATATAAAAATTACACCTGAGGATTATAAATCTAATTTAGTAAGTTTATGCTCAGATTTGAAAACTCAATGTTTGTGCATATCGAAGGATTAAAATTTGGTTTTGGTTAATAGAATCACTAGTAAAGGTACGGTAATTTAAAATGTTGCTAATTATTTACAGAAAGTTTCATATACAGGTACCTAAATATGAAGTTACATTTGGACAAATTTGGGAATGCTATAATTTTATTGAATACTATTTTGTCCTTAGGCATTCATTGGCAGTATGGTTTGGTCAATAGCCTGTTGCCTAAATGGGTTCCATATTTTTGTTGCATGGGATGAGAAATAAAATTCTCACATGTGCAAAGGGAACATATATCTGGGTGTCACATACTGCAAATCTTGTTTGGTAGCTTTTTAAGATATTCTTAAAGAAGCTAAATGGGAGGGGTTTGAATTTTGTAGAATACACAAACTAGCCACATCTATTGTGTTGGAGCGTGTGTGTGGATGCCATTGAGTCAAGTATATGATGTGGCCCTATTTTAAATTTTGTATAGCAACTTTAGATAACACTGCTAACAAGAATCCTATAATCATTACTCAGTTTCACACCTTCATGAGACAGGGAGATGAGCCTAGAGGTGGGGGGTGGGGTACTAGATGTTAAAGTTGCCATTTTCTGTATAACATAATTTAAAAATACACTGCTAAAATCCAGCAGTCATACATAGCAGCACTCATCACTTCAAAAGACCTGATGTTTGGCACTTCTTGTAGCTTAACATATACGGTACATTACAAGGGCATTCATTCCATAACAAGCTATGTCCACCAAGCCTTTTATCATCCTATCTTGTGGATTATTCAAAATCCCTGTATCTTCACTACAGTGTGTCCATGCCACCTTCCTCTCCTACCCTCAAATACTCTTGGCTTGTTCAATCATTATTTACAAATTTAAGTTATGAAGGAGCAGTAAAATATTGTATGTATATGAGCATACAAATAAATTTATAATAATTACATTACTTTGAATGAGTTTGATTAGGAATTCAAAATAGGTGTCTTGTAAAAGAAGGCTCGTAGAAAAGTGATGAAATGCTTGTGGTCCTGTAAGTAGGTAGATAATAGTGGTTTCTGTTTATGTAAAATAAAGGGAAAATGAGAGGTGGTATGAGACTAAAAGGTAAGTGAAAAGAGTGATTTAGCAGGCGGCAAAGTAGTGAAGAATACCTTGCAAGTAAAACTGAACATTGCTCAGGAAACGTGTTTTGGAAGGTAAGTTCTACAGTCTTTATAGACTTTCTTTTAATAATTTTCTTTTGAAGGCATGGAATTTAAATGTGTTAATTGGTGAAGAAAGAGAAGTGGAGTGAGTACTAGTACTGTGAATATATGGATTTAATGCATGGAGGAGATGCTGTATGAAGGATGCGTGATGCTGAGTGAAGGATGCGTGATGCTGAGTGAAGAATGCGTGATGCCGAGTGAAGGATGCATGGTGGAGATGCTGTGTGAAGGATGTGTGGTGGAGATACTGCGTAAAGGATGCGTGGTGGTGATGCTGTGTGAAGGATGCGTGGTGGAGATGCTGTGTGAAGGATGCGTGGTGGAAATGCTGTGTGAAGGATGCGTGGTGGAGATGCTGTGTGAAGGATGCGTGGTGGAGATGCTGTGTGAAGGATGCGTGGTGGAGATTCTGTGTGAAGAATGAGTGGTGGAGATGCTGTGTGAAGGATGCGTGGTGATGCTGTGTGAAGGATGCGTGGTGGAGATGCTGTGTGAAGGATGCGTGGTGGAGATGCTGTGTGAAGGATGCGTGGTGGAGATGCTGTGTGAAGGATGCGTGGTGGAGATGCTGTGTGAAGGATGCGTGGTGGAAATGCTGTGTGAAGGATGCGTGGTGGAGATTCTGTGTGAAGAATGAGTTGTGGAGATGCTATGTGAAGGCTGTGTGGTGGAGATGCCGAGTGAAGGATGCGTGGTGGAGATGAGGTTGCGGCGCATGACGCACCTCAGGCTGTGGTGGGTAAGGGCGGTGACAATGTTGCCAGATTGGGCTAAAAGTAGCCAATTGGGCTACGTTTGACAGCATGCTAAATTTGTAATCTCGCTACTTGCTAATTTTGGGGCTACTAATTTTAAGATAGTGACTTTTTATTTATGCATTTATAAAGTAATGTGTGTAAATCACAGCTGCGTCCAACTGCCTGGTTGGACAGACCACGAAAGGAGGCCTGGTCAGAGGGTCTTGGGGACGTTGATCCTCGAAACCTTGGAAAGAAAAAGTAACCGCAGCGGCGACAGACTCCCCAACCTTACTTGCCATTAATGGCTCATCCCGGGTATTGTCTGTGCTAGCAATTCATCCTTATGAAATGATACTATTTCGTGGAAAGCACCAATATGTAGTGATGGACCACCAGTAAGCCACTTCGTGATGAGTAGACGGATATTGCATATGAAAAACATTTACTGTATGTGTGTGTGTTCGATGTTATAAATCTAAACACAGTAGGATTTTACCTCAGTTTATTGGACTAGTTTTAGTCACAACCACTACCTCTGAAGCCTTGTATCAATACCTCAAAGATTATTTTAGCTATATTGGAGCTGATTTGAAGCAGCGTCTTGCCCGGATGGGACATCAATCTCACTTTACACTGATGAAGAAGGCTATCCCTTATTTGTTTATTATCAAGTGCACGTCATTCCTTCCATTTGATTTGTTCTCATGCAGTTGACAAATTACCTTCCAGCATCAACTTCATCATAAGAGAAAGCTACAGCTGATTAAACAGATATTCATTAAGAATAGAAAGTTATCTAGAGATTTATAGACTTGGGAATGATGGGAAAGATCCCTTAAAGTTGATACCTTTCTCAGGAAGACGATGGTTGGCAAGAAACAATAGCGTAGAGCGGCTGTTAGATCAGTGGGATTCTTGAACAACTTACCAAATCGCTTCTTCCTCTTGTGATAAGTATGTTGCAATGTAGCTATTTTCAATGTACTCTGATCCTGCCAATAAGCTATATTTCATATTCCTCAAAGCAATCCTAAATGATTTTGAAAGTATGAATTGAATTTTATCAAAAAGATGAAGCAGATCAGTGTAGCCTTCACACTGAGTTAATAAACTTCACTCTTGGAATGCTCGGAAAAATTGTGCATCCTGTTCATGCAAAGACTGATGTTAATTTAGACTTTAATTCCATTTATGTGCCTCTGAAGAAAGTGAACTTTGGCTACGATTTTGTTACACTTCAGGCCACTAACAGACAAAACAATGCAATAAACCAAGAATAGCTTTAAAATGTTCAAGAAAGATGCCATAAATGTTTATTGAAAGCTTGCAAAGAGCTTTCTCGCATTCCCAGTAATGCTAAAACTTTCAAAAAGGTGAAAAATCTATCACCTAGCATATGCCTTAGCCGCACCATTTCAGAACTTCCATTAGTACTAGCTGACCAGACTAAGCTGAGTGAAATTGAAAGTGTGCGTCGTCTACTGTTGTGACTGCGCCAACAGTCAGAACAGTCAGCCCCTCATAAGCGACTGCGTCAACACTTGTTAGGGACAAATTCCATCTGGATCATTATTTTGGACCAAGGCAATAACTGTCAAGAATCCTGCTGGAGAGCTAATGGTCATTTACCTCACTGAGATTACATTGAAAATATACAGCTTACCAATCAGTAATGCCTTGGTTGAACGAGTATTTTAGAGAGTAACGTCTTAGAAAACTAAGCTGAAAAATCGAATGGGACTTGAGCTTTTGACATCAATCTTGCAAACATATCTTGAAGAAAGTAACACTTGGTGCCCATCATTTGAACCACGCATGCCAGTGATATATAACAGGAATTCTGGATGCAGGAAATTTTCCTGCAGGCACCCACTGAGGACTCTCAAAGTGAGAAATGAGGCCCACACAGAATTCTTTTGATCTTATTTAGGTCATTTTTTCAGGGGGTTCAAGTTTTGTCGCTGTCCCTTTGATTTGTAGAAAAAACTATCTTTTTGATAGTCTTCAACTGTGAAGAGGTGGAGGGACCCATATATAATTAAAAAACCGTGATAATTGGATAAATTACTAATATTTGCTGAATGAAGCATAATTTACCAGGTAAATTATGCTTCATGCACCAAATATAAGTAAGTTATCCAATTATCACGTTTTTTTATTATATGCATGCAGTGATAATATCAATACAATCATTAAATCATGCAGTGTTACTCTATGAATTAAAATATATTGCTCTGAAAACCGTATGAAGGGCTAAACAAAATATTGGGCTACTTCTACTTTACCTGCTGCCCGAAACGCTTTGCGTAATAGTGGGTTTAGGCATTGTATGTACCAGCTCTATCAATAAACCTAGCAATTTTTTGTAAAAATCTCTTGTATGTATGTACCTTACCTGAATAAACATTTATTTATTTATTTTAATTACAAATTCGCTACTTTTGGAGCGTCACAGCTCGCTACTTTGAACACTTGGGCTGGCAACCGTGCGGCGCGGCGCCTGCGCTCCCGCAGCAGGTCTGAGACGCACGCCAGCCACTCAGGAGGTGCACCACGCTCTCACACCAACACCTGACGTGTATGTGGTGAGTAGGGCAGCTCGCCGGGATGAGTGCCACTTCCGGGGATGGCCATAATGCTGCCACGAGGGAGTGTCACCGCTTGATGCACACAGTAATGACTCTTATTACCTTCCCGGGGAGCGCTGGTCCTGTGGGGCCCGGGTCTCCTCCACCTTCAGTCACCTGTGTACAGGTGACTGAGCCTTTTGGGCTGTCAAGTGTACACTGGAAGCTGTGTGTGGAGTCTGTACATTGAAAGCTGTGTGTGGAGTCTGTACATTGGAAGCTGTGTGTGGAGTCTGTACATTGGAAGCTGTGTGTGGAGTCTGTACATTGGAAGCTGTGTGTGGAGTCTGTACATTGGAAGCTGTGTGTGGAGTCTGTACATTGGAAGCTGTGTGTGGAGTCTACACCCACCTTACCGCTTCACTTTTTAGTACATTCCATTTGTTTACGACCTTGACACTGAAAATATTTTCTGATGGGAGTCGAGTTTACATGTGTACACTCAGCAAACTCACGGTAGACCATGGGGAATATTGACTAATATCCTAGCATGAGTGAACTACTTACAAAGATCCATGAATGTCTTGCAAATTGGTCTAAAGTCATTAATATTTGATACTGTATACAGTTTGCAGATTTATCTAACAATTTTGTGTTATTATGAAAGTGAAGTACTCTACGTTGTATGATTTTGACAAACTGACTGTGTGATTAGATGCAGCCTGTACGGAATAGGTATACAGTACAAGTACTGTATAAAGAACCACAATGTTCTTACTCTTAAGCAAATAACAGTAATCAACAAAATTTTGTATTAAACCTTAGTAAAGTTGCTAGTTACCAGACATTTAGACATTTAGTTTTTGACATTAACTGGTGCTAAAGAATTATATTTAGTGGAAAACTTGAAGATGAGTTGAAACAGGAAATGTTCAATGGAATGACATTATAATTAATTGTATATGTCATGCTCTTGGAGATGTTCAGAAATAGAGAGCATATTAAGTGAAAGATAATAACAATAATCATGGGTGTCAACAAATTTAGTTATTCATTTATTGTATAAATGTCAGTTTACATGTAATTTGAATAAACATCTGCAGTTAAGGGAACGGAATCCAATTTTCACGAACCTACTCAAACTCTCCTACAGTATTTTGTATAATCTGCATGGCAAATGCATCAACTTTTCCTATTGGATCAACATCGTGACATGAAAAAAAAAAAATCCAATTTTTTAATTATTTTCAAAAGTAGTAAAATTTCATCAATTTGTCTTGTATTTATTAGGGTCCAAGAATGGCATATGATGATGATATTCTTTTGTTTTATATAAGTTTGGGAGTATAGTTTACTGTAAAAAAAATCAATATGGCATTCCAACTATGTGCCCAATTTAGACACTAAAAGTTATAAACCCAAAGTTTTTGTGTTTTTGTAAAAAAAAAGTAAAAGTTTCTTTAGAACAAAGAAATTTGCACATACTTGAAAATGGTGAGAATTGATCAGAAACTGATGTTCTGAAGGTGTCTCAAAGTGGAAAATATTGTTCATAGAGAAAAATGAAGATGAAGTTATAGACAATGAATATGGCTGTTGTTCTAATTTATGAATTTTCCTGTAGGCTTTAATAAACATTGCCTGACATTCATACCAGCTTGGTGCCTTCTTTGATAATTACTTACTTGACATTTGTACTAGAATAAGTGAAAGTTGTAGATTAATGTGTTGAAATGAAGTCAAGAAAAAATAACCATACAAAAAAAAAAAATATATATATATATAGGGATAACAAACCAATATATTTCAATTGCTTTATTGCCCATATATATATATATATATATGGGATAAGACCCTCATCTGGTCCCCATTCAACAAAACAATCTAAAGAGAAGAGAAAAAAAAAATTGCAAGAAAATGGCAACATTTTCTTTGTAACAAAAATTGTAACAAAAATCTGAACCAATTTCCTTTATATTACTCTGAACTATCAGGATAGCATCTAAACTTCAGTCTGATTACATTTTTATGACTAGTTGGAAAACCCACATAAAACAGAGTCACAAGTTCTGCCACCTTTGGGGGATTCACACGTTGACCAATTTCGTTCCAACTACACATCTAATATAACATAGCAAAACAAGATGCATACTCATTATGTGAGAAATTTGGCCCTCCAGGTGGCACTCAGCAATGCCACCAGCTGTATATCCACTTTGTGGACCCTCCTTACTACTATTGTACTCTTCTTTGTGTGCCAGGTGCTTGCATCTCTTAATCCCTGCATTATTCCTGAGTTTCAGTAAATAGAAGGTGTTATCGTTATATTCAGTACTGGTTGTGGCCCGTCACAGTTTCATTATTTACAAAACTTGTATAAAATCCATTTCTAAACACTGGAAGAAATTTTCATGACGCTGATGCCAAATAACATATTTTTTTAACATATATAACATTTTTTTTATATTGGAGGAATATTTTTGGATTCCCGGGCCCTTAACATTGTGTGTGAGTGGGCCGGTGGTGAAGGAAGTGTATTGTAATGAACTACAGGAGAAGAATGTGTGGATGAACTAAGTAGTGGGTGTGTATGAGGGTGGTACAGTCTAATCATACACAGGCTTTATGACAGCTCATGTTGTAATTGTTAAAACCATATACAGTACTGTATATGATTGGGTTAGTTTACATTTGGTAATATTAGGTAAGTTTTAAAAATCTGCTGGTAAACCTTCTTGAGTATGAAGCCCAGGGAAGGGGGCTTCAGGGGAATACCCTGAGGGGGTATCTGTTGGCTGAGGCATTGGCATGAGCAAATATTCCAACTCCTAATTAATGTGTTGATTGCATGTTTAGATATGAGTTTTCTTTTTATCTCAGATGCACAAACAAGAATAACAAAGTTATGCTTATGTCTTACCCCAATAAATATCTATACATTGTGTACTGTATAATAAATAAATAAATAGCCACAGGCTAATCTTTCCTTCAGCCGCTTTTCTAGAGGGGCCATAAGCCAAACAGTTGACCATAAAAAACAGCTTTACTCTTGTCTAAGGAAACCTCAGTGAGTCAAACAGGTTTGCTGTCTTTGACAGTGGTAGACCTGTATACCAGACGACTTATATTGTTTCTGATTATTTTCATCTTTGAACTTGCCAGAAATTGCATATTCCATTTTTTTTTTCAGATTGTGTAAAGGTCTCTGCCAACAAAGAAAGGGGAATTTGACGTGCTTTCTTCTTCATTTAGTGAAGCAAACCACAAAATTTGCACCAAAAGAGATTCACTACAAAGTACCATGGCAAAGGAAGGAATGGAAAATTTGCAAGCCAATAAAGGTGCAAGTGGTAAGATAAAAGATGAAGTAAAAGAAGAAAGTAACTTAAAAAATAGGGAATGGGAAGACACAAATGACGATCATGACTCCGAACACGAATCAAGAAAGAGAAAAAGATCATGTGACCTCGATACTGAAGAGGTGAGATTTTTTTGTTTTGTTTTGATTTTTTACCAAAACAGTGTTACCATCTTTTCTTTTCACAATCCCCTCTCCTTCCTTAGATGGCAGTTTACCAAGGCTAACTGGAACCTTACGCGCTACTCTTTCTGACCTCTGATCTGCCTCTACCCTGAGCCCTCCTCTTATTCCATGATATAGTTTTTTATGTTGCCCTTTGCTCTGTTCCTCGCTAGAATCTACCTCCCAAGGCATGCGGAAATGCGTTCCCTGGTGGAATGCAGACTGTGCTCGGGCTGTCCACTGTAAGGGTGCAGCCTGGAAGAAACACCGTCGCAGACAGACGCCGATTCTTTTGTTTTGTTTCGGAAGGTGAGTGCAGTGGCCCGATGGGCCATCCGTACGGTTTAGCATGAGAGTTGGAGATCTTTCGTTTTCTCCATTACATCTGACACTCCTGTTCCCCTGATCTGGAAGAAAATTTGCAAGATAGCGGGTAAGTTTGTTCCAGATGTCTCGCCAGTCCTTCACCTCCATGGTTCTATTGTGTCAGTCATGACCGAACTTTGTTCACACTTTTCAACTGTTAGCTCCGGTTCTCACCTTTCTCCTTCTTTCCTTACTTGTAAGCCCCTTCTTGAATCTTGTTCTTTAGATTTTCGCACTTGTCTTCAGTTTCCCCTATAACGATCCTTTCTCTCAGAACTCCAGTCTGCCCTGACCCTCTGCGGTTTTACGTCAGGGGGCTCAGATGATATTTAATATGAGATGCTTTGCCATCTCCCTCCATGCATGTTTCAGTGTTTACTGAATGTTTATAACCATGTCTGGGAGTCGTCGTCAGTCTCTGAGGACTGGCTTGAGGTGGTTGTTCTTTCTATTCTGAAACCGGGCTCACTAAGGTCATCCTCTACAGACTTCTGTCCCCATTGCTCTAATGAGTTACATCTGCAAACTCTTTGAACGTATGGCCACTGTCCGTCTGGTGTGGTTCTTGGAACACCATCACCATCTTTCCCCTTCTCAATTTGGCTTTTGCAAATGTCGCAGCACAACTGATGTCCTTGTGAACTTTGAGGTCTATATTCGTACTGCCTTTGCTGCAAAGACCTCCGTGGTTGCTGTCCTTTTTGACCTGGAAAAGGCATATGACACCTGGAGATACAGTACCATATTCTTTCCCCGTCGCCGTTCTTTTGGCCTTCGTTGTAATCTCCCTCTCTTCCTCTCTCGTCATTCCTTTCAGGTGAGGCTTAGTACCACTCTCACTGCCTCTTTTCAGCATTACAAAGGTGTACCCCAAGGTAGTGTTCTGAGCACTACTCTTTTCCTGGTTGCCCTCAATGGTTTTCTTTCCTCCCTTCTCTCTGGCATTTTCTCAGATCTCTTGTGTTGATGATCTTACTCTCTGCTGTCAAGGTGATGACTCGCCTTTCCTCCAACGGCGGCTTCAACTTGGAAGTGATGCCGTGTCGTCCTGGGCCATCACGCACGGCTTCAAGTTCCCTACAACTAAGACTTGTGCTATGACTTTTACTCGGAAGCAGGTCGTTCTTTGACCCTCCCCCTGTTGCTTTATGGTAATCCTCTTTTATATAAGGATACCAGTATTCCCCATGTATATTATGGTCTTTATTACTGTATTCCTCCCTCTTTGTTAATATATCAATAGGAAAAGCTCTTATAATAACATGCTATACTTGGTTCCCAAATGTTTGCCCCTCTGGGAAGAAGGAAGCAGGCATCGTATGTGGGCTTCGTTCCTTTGTAACCACCGAGCACTAAGATGTGATATTTCTGGCCATAATTGCATGGTGTCAGTAAAGTACACTATGTACCCAATATATCAAATGATATGGGAGCTATACCCTGCTCTTAATTACTGTATTGGGATTCAATATTACTGCTGATGGTATATTGTTAGTAATGTTAGTTACTTTGGGCACGTGAAGTATTTTTTCTCAAGGAAAATTATATAACTTTGTTTATGTATACAGTAGTATTCCAAAATCAATAAAACATAATATATTTATTAACAAAAATACATTACAGTAGTTCAGAGTACAATACTGTATATTAAATTTGTTTCACTTTCCTCCATGCTCAAAACTGTTTAGCCTTTTTCTCCTTCTAAAATAGCAAAAGCGTACTGTGTATTATACACGGTATAATTCCAGTATTTACTGTACATTCCAAGTTTATTAGCTATTCTGTTAAGGTCTTAAATGTGCCATGTACATAAGAAAATCTCTGCTGGTGTGATAAACATGGTCTGGTGTTAATTTAAAGTAACAGCTCCAGTCAAGAAGTTATTCATGCTAAACCTCATTGTTTCATTGAATGCAATGTTTCATCTCTGGTCTCATCTCGTGCAGGAATATTTCGAATGAACCATGTAGTTATATTGTAGAAATATAAAACAAAATACAGTAGGTACTGTTATAATATACAATTTTGTTTTTTACTTTTCAAGTCAAAATTGTGAAGGTGTTAATCCCTGTGCACAATGCAAAAATGTTGAGGTTCTGTACACTGTACAATGCAGTATATTCTGTACATTACTCTTATAATCATTCTATCAGCTAATCATTCTTAAGCCTCTGGCTGTACATGTACGAAATTATAGTGGTTGAGATTGTAAATATTGGCCTTGTCTATGGTGTATGACCTCTGTCCATAGCTTTATGATACAGTATATTGATTTTACATAAATATGGAGCAGAATACTTTGTTGAGAAGAGAAAACATATACTGTACTTGGCTGGGTTGTCAAGATCCCAAAACCAAGTGCAAGGTGGAAATTGTTTATTTTGATTATGTATTTAATTACACTAGTTTCTCTCTTTTTACAGATGAATATTAGTGAGGAATTGCGTGCAGAGCATGATGGTCGGGAATCCAGCATTGATCTTAGGACCCTTTTTGTTCGCTTTCCAAAATCACTAAGAGTAACTAGTGGTGAACAAGTATTGAATTTGGTGAAGGAAGCAGTTGATGTACGCTTACCTCGAAGTTGTAATCCAAATTATTACTCGTAAGTAGGTAAAAGAAAGAAGAAACTGCTAGTGTTTATAATATATTGTATTTATAATAATTTTACACTGCATATACATTAATTGAATATATCAGTATTGTCACTAATATACTGTATATATTCTATATATTGTGGATTTTGTATATATTTTGCTGATAGCATTTAAAAAAAATTGACTGAATTTATGAGGAATGCTTATATAGTTTAAGGTATGCTCTTGTCAAGGGTGGGAGTGTTTCAGTATCTAGCTAGTGGATTTTTCTTGGGATAATAAACGGCACATCATGACCTCACCTCAAGTGCTGTACGAACTCTGCCTGCTGCTTAGGTCAGGGATTGACTGGCTGAGTGAACAAGTAAAATGTTTAATAAAGTGCAAGGAATCGTTCAAGGATGTAAGGCAGAAGGATATTCAACAGAGGCAGAACAATATCCAGCAATAAAGCTGGAAATTGATCGACAAAAGGAGAACAAGGACCACAGCGAAGGACGACAAACTGACCATCAAAAAGGCGATGGTTGAAACGGTGAATCCCCTCTCAGTTTTACAAGAGGAGAACTTGAACAGGAGCCCTGTAAGTAGGAAACCTGTATGTCTCGACAAATAAGGTAGGGTGATACTGGTTGTTGGGGATTCGGAGGTGTGCTATTATGCCTATGTATATGACCTTCTGCTCTAGGAACACAAGAAAGTTTTTTTTTTCTGGTGACAAGGGTGGGTCACACAGTGGATAGAATGTGAAATAGTCAGGCAATGGGATCAAGAGTATACAGGATAGGCAAAAGATCAAAACTAAACAGCTAAAGATAACACAAGTGGCAAATATCTGCCTACCCTCCCATGTGTATGACAGCCTGACCCTCAGTAAACAAAATGTCAGAGCAACTTGTGGAAGCTGTATAAATATAAAGATCTCAAGAAAGGCATTACGTGTTATGTAAAAACAGTTTTCACTTGTGTACAATTAAGTAATAACAATGATATTAGCAAGGTCATTTTCATAAGGTACTGTATGTAGAAATGACATACCAGTTTAGATCACTTTGACATATCCACTAGTTACCGTGCCTCATATCCGAAAACTGATTTTTATGGGGAACTTGCCAAGTACTAGTATTTATACACAATGAAATAAAAAAGTGATATGTTTATGTTTAGGAAAAAAAGCAATATGATGCCATCATAGAAACCATCACAAATGTGGGAATAGGAACAAAAGGTAGCAATTAATAAAAGTACAAGACCAGAAAAATGAAACTTCAAAACAATATGACTCGCATTGAAAGTGATGTATTTATGTTTCATTGAATGAAGTGTTTTGTAATGAAACAATTCTTTCTGGGGACTCTCAGTGGCTCCCTGTAAGTAGCTACACTGAGATACCAAGTCCTCAAAAGCCTTCTGGAGAACAGAGCCCAAAACCTGACCCCCTCATGAGTGCTGGGAGCATGGGATTCATGATCACCTTTACTGAAGAATTAAACCCCCCTAGAAAAGAAATGAAGCAAAATAGACAAGTGCAAGGTTCACAAAAAGTAAACAAACAATGCTTGCTGCAAAGAATCCACCCAGTAGTTAAGTCGTACACCTAGAAACAGCTGACCACCACCAAGTGGCAGCACCATAGAAGCTCCCGGGTTCGCCTCTCAACACTCCTGTTTAGAACCCAAGAAAAACCAACCAATGCACTAGGTAGGGAGGAGAGGGTTTAGAGGGCCACTGAGGCCCTTTTTAAGAGAGATATTTAATTACATTTAACACTGGTTTTCTGAAGGGGCTGAATGTTGACTTCGTGCAGATAACTAACCACAGAAGAGAGAAAAATGGACTGAGGGAAGAGGATAGCAAAGATCAAACCCCTGAAGGGGAGATACCTGAAAGGAAAGTACTCGGGACAAGGTTGAAGAGGACCAGGAACACAGACCAGGTAATGAGCTGCCAAGACCCCATGGGATCTTTAAAACGTCTGTGAAATACTTTGAAAAATTACTAGCTGATATTAATGAGTCTTTGGTTGGGTAGTGGAAAATAACATGATGCTTAACAGTGATAACTTCCAAGTATTTAGGCATGGAAAAAATCAGAATTTAAATGAAATGCAGGGTATAAGAAGCAGTCAGTTCTACTCAAAGTAAGAAAGTAACATGTAAAGGATTGGGGAATAATGTCTAATGACCTAACATTTACATGCATAACCAAGCAAATGTAGCATGAAATAGAAAAATTATAAGAATAGGTTATGAGAACCTTCATACTGGAAGAGCTGAAATTTACATTGAAATTTACTGGGAGGGTTTTCTTGTTGCAACCAATATGAATAGCTCCACCCAATAAGAATCACACCAGGCCCTTACAAGTCATTGTAAGCTTACCGGAGACCAGAGATCAAAACATGACCTGCGCAGGGAGCTGAGGATACGAGATCACTCGGTCCAAGAAAAGGCCACCAGGAAGTTAGTGAGAAACACTCAAACCCATTACTCATTAAACCTGGAGTAACTAGACAGGAAGTTGCCTTTTACACTCCTCAATCCACTGGCAGTGAAGGTTAGGAATCAGTGAGAAAATCATTGGAGCAGAATAGGGCTCAGTCACTTTCAGGAATTCTTCTGCCTCTTGTGTTATCTGTTTTTAATGTAGTTTATTTACCTGAGGCTAAAGTCTACACTGATACACATTACTGCATCTTGATACCTTCTTGATCTCTGCCAAAATAGGTTCACTGCATAACTCATCTAGACCTGTGGGTCTGTGCATTATGCATGTAAGCAGTTTCTCATTTCTCTCATTCACTTCTACCAATGTTGTTTCTGTGAGTGTCTGATTTGAGTTTCTTTCTTATACTGTACTGTACTTATGATCCTCTAATAGTCATACCACCCCTTTCTATATGTTCTGTCAACATAAATGAGTTTGTATCCCTTGATCTGGTACTCGACCAATAGGTCCAGCGAGTCAAAATTCAACCATGTTTTAGTGAGTGCCATTATGTCTAACTTTAGTACACACCAGTGCTCTTGAGGTTATCCTTCTTGTTCCTCACACTTTTGGAGTTAGTCAAAGGTAAAGTATACTATACTATACTTTTGAATATGTGTATAATCTTTGCATATTTGTCATTTTTGCAGTCATTGCTTATTGGAATTTGAATCTGAAGACATGACAGAGCGTATGAAAGAAAAAATTTCCAAAATGAAGGTACAAGAACATTCATATTATGTTGACTATGTTGGAAAGAAGTCTGACTTCTGCAGCTCAAGGGTTCCTAAACCAATGAATCCTTGCAAGTGAGTTTTTATATATATTATATATACTGTTAATAATTATACAGTGTATGTAGTATATGTACTGTAATTATTATTATTATTATTATTATTATTTTTATTTGTCTTTTTCTTGACGTTAAACTTTAAAACATATAATGGTAGAAGAAAAGTTTCTGCTGACAGTATAATTGGGCCAAACATTTTGCTCGCACATCTTAACCTCAGGAGTTGCTCTCAGCAATCCATGTTTAAGTTGCATCATTTGTTCTAGAAATTCATCACAAATTATTATTTTTAATTTTCTCAGAATTACCTTTCTGGGAGAGAATCACTGAAACAATACAACAGCAGCAGAATTAAGCAATAAAATTCTTCTGTTATGCTGGCATATACTGTAGATTACTTCAAGTATCTTGTATTAAGAGTAATTTCAATGTGGGGTTTTAAAGTAATGATTTGCATAAATTATGTTAAAAATTCAGTCTGTGGCTTAGAATTGGGAGTATCTTGTATACAGTCAAATACAGTATTCCACATAGGTGACCATTATGTTTTGATAAGCTAATAATGATGGCCTCCTCCATCCAAGTTCATTATCATAATTTATATACTGTACACAGTGTAATGGTTTCCAATTTTTCCATAGTTGGGGACAGGAATCCTGTTAGGTATTATAGATAAATATATATAGTATATATTTACAGATTGTATGTTGGAGGTGTGCACATGGAAACCACACGTCTTGATCTTAAGAATGTATTTCCAACGGCAATGGCAATTGAATATGGAAAAAAACAAAAAAACGGAACAACGAGGTAAGGTAAAATCCTTTAATAGTTTAGTAGGCAAGAGATTTTGTTTCCTTTGTCTGAATATTAGAGGGGGCTTACCTTTTGCTGTTTATTCAAGGTGAATGATGGGGGTTCTCCTTGAATGTCCGATGCTTGTACTGTAGGGCTTCTTAGTTGCTTGCTCGGACTCCTGCCTTTAAATTGTATTTTCAAGGGTATTGTGTTGAAGGCAATTCCAGAGAAATATTTGTGAAGCATTTTTCTTGAAATTCTTAAGTGTTGACATTTGGCCATCCTCTGGAATAGGATGGGTGTTTTCCCCACAAAATAATGGCTTTGCAGACATTTAATTTTTCATACTGTTACTAATATTTTTGACATTATACTGATGAAATAGTTGAAGATCATGATAATAAGGTCTTTACATATTGGCAAAAAAGTGATTTAAGCTTGGATAAAAATGGCCTGCAAGCCACTGCAAGCAACAGACTTTACCAGTCAAGTTATCACCAGACAAGGGTCATGCTTGATGAGTTGGACTTTCCAATTCATCTACAGTTAAACTTATGTACTGGTATATATGTATGTTTACAGAAACTCGGGTGGGAATTTTTTTGTATGATTAAGAAGAGATCTGTTAAACTACACGTTCCACAAATTAAGTATTGGTATATCTTGTTCATATGATATAGGCATATATTGCCCATATTTGTTGAACCCCTAACCCCTGCACTGAATGCTTAAACTCTCATTGTCTCATATCTTTGATCTGCACTTAAAAAAAATGTTCTATAATTTAGTATGCATGTATTTGGGTTGTTAATATATGGTACACATATAGAGTATACTATAAATGTGTACATTTATACTATAATATAGTATAACAACATTCAGAGTATGATTTGAATTATCTAATTTACATTTATAATGTATATACTTTCAGATTTGCTTTCATAACGTACAAAAAGGAGGAAGACGCCTTAAAAGTGTTCGAGTCGTCCAAAAATCTAAAAATCAATGGGAAGGAAGTAACAGTTATGTTTGCCAAAGGAAAGAAAACTACTGGAAAAATGAGGGGGTTAATCAAGGAAAACAATTAAAGGTAAGATATGGGGTGTGTGTGAGACAGTAGTTTACTATTTGCTGCTTTTTCCCCATCTGTTCCTTGACATTCCTTGATTTAAATATCTTTTAAAAAGAGTTGGTACTAAACAGTCTTCCCAACTTGGTGCCGTCTTTTTATAATTACTTACTGAACTTAAAACTCTTGCCAACCCCTAGAAAATTATCCATGTTCAGTATATCATATTGTATGATAAAATACCCTAAATTTTAAAATAATATGTATTTTATGTATTATGTAAAATAATATGTATTTTAAAATAAAATACTAAACTTATTCCATAAAAAAAAAAAGCATCACTCGCTGCCATAGATTGACTACTACAAAGAACTTATCTGTTTAGGTATTAAGTTGGAGAAAAACCTGTTACTGACAGAGCAAATTGTATTAAACATTAAAATCAGAGAACATGGAAATAAACCATCCACCAAAAGATGAAATCAAAATGTGTGTAGAAAATTGGAGGTAATGAGAACATTACAAAATATTAATGAACATGAACAAATATTAAGTTTTAGAAAAAATTTAAATTGCCATAGAAATACCATATTGGCCAAAATTGTATTATTATTAACCCCTTTCACTCTTATTTGATAAGATGGCATCAAATGGTAAACCAATTGGGAGGAGTGCATTCTGAGTCTGCACACAGATAAATAAACTGTGTGCAGCTTTAGAGATACAATATATGAATTTGTAACTCAAATTCTGAGAGTGCTGTGATTAGTTCAGCAATGTGAATATCTCAAGTATGAATGAGCGCCCTTTGGCAGTGCACATTTTACAAGCATTTGCAAAGGCAAATTCTCTCTACAAACACAGTTGAACTTATTTTGCAGTTTTATCATTTTCCCTTTATCATGTATAAATATATCTACTGTATCCCTTTGTTTAAAATGTGTATGAGTATTTACTTTCATGGCAAGTATCTTTTAATCTATAACCATTGTCATTTATTCCTGCCACACTATTTCCTTCCATTATGTCACACTGAGGACCAAGTGCTACTTCTGTTATCACATGCTGCATAATGTAATCACAGTAATCACAAATGCCACCTTTATTCTTTCTAACAGAAATTTCATGCACAAGTACCTTTAACGGCAGCATAACATGTTATTCACTACCCCCCATGCCACTCATTATTTTATAACAGCCATTCACCTTCCCTTCTCTCATTTTCTTTACTCATGTTCTTATAACATTTACTCCATTCCATGTTTCATTATCATTTCCTTTTAGCTTTGTCTCATTTAAACGGCACAAAAAACTTTCTTTACTCAAACTTTCACAACTTCTGTTTTCTTATGTTTTTCTTTTATACATAGCAGTTGCTATCTATGTAATAGTTCTTAGTCTCATTAATTATATTTTGTAAATTTGTACAATAAATTGTATTTAGATTCCTCAACACCAGTTTGTATTCTTTTATTTCCTTTCTATTTTTTCACTTACGTTTTGCTAAAGTGCATATTTTTTTTTTTTTTTTTTTTTTACAGACAACCCAGATGTAGTTGAAGATGGTAAGGGTAAGGCAAGCAAGAATAGGAAGAAGGTGAAGTTGATGAGACTAGTGAAACTGATAAATGCAGACAGTGAAGGTGATGGCAGCAAGGAATATGAGAAAGATAATCCCAATGAGTATGAGTGATGTAAAGATTATAAGGAGATCTTGTCCAAGAATTTTGTATTTTCGGATAAATTACTTGACCATTACTATGTACAAGATACTGTATAGATTTGAATGTGTGTGTGTAATTGAAGATAAATTGTATAGTACAAGTAAAATGAATAATAAATTTGATATTTTCAGTCAAGCCTTCATTCACTTCAGTTTTGCTGTGGAATGGATGATAAGATGTCTTACTCGTCTTCAAAATTCTTGGTTTGAAGAAATGCATGTGGTCATGTTCCTTGTTTGCTTATCACCAAGTGTCTACTGTATGAGCTGAAGACTTACATGTCTACTTAAATGTGAAAGAACTGAATGACAAACATAGCAGCATTGAAAATGTCTTTACAAAAATGAATGAGAAAAATGAAATTGTAAAATTTATTTTACAAAGAAGTGTAAATACTGTATGGGCCATTGTCAGATGATGGAGGCTGTTAAACAACATATTTTGGCAAAATTAAGCCTACATTAAAATAATGACAATTTGTGATAATATAATACAATACTGTAGCAAATAAGAGGCTCATTCAAAATGAACAAAAGGGTTATAAAAATAAGGATTATGAGGATTGTCAAGTTGTTATACATGCCAGATTTTAAAAAGTTGCTACATTTAAAATTTTATGGCTATACTATATGTTGACTTTTATTCGTTAGAAAATATTATTTGACAGTACAGGGGATTCTCGTCTTATGAACGGTCTCAAAATCTCCATTTTAACATTACCATGCAGTTGCCTTGCACTGGTTCTGAAGATCAATGTATCCCATGGCCTGGTCCTTGACCAGGCCTTCTGGTTGGTGGTGTGGTCATCTAGGCTATTAGATGCAGCTGCTTGCAGCCTAACTTGTAAATCACAGCCTGGTTAATCAGGTATCCTTTGGTAGTACAGTATTTGTCAGGTTCTCTTTTGAACAGCGTGAGGTCAGCCAGTTATTCCCCTTGCATTTAAAGGGAAAGTGTTGAAAAGTCTAGGACCCTTGATGTAAATAGAATTCTCTGTCAGTGTATGTGCTACTAAACAAACCATTTATGAAGTCAACACATGAGGGACAGTGCTTATAATGCACTAAGTTCATTAATGGATGATGGGATGAAGAAAAGAGTGTTTTTCACAAGTGCCTATCCATCATCACATTTTACCCTCCTCTTAGTAATTACACCACATTTTTCTTCAAAAATAATCAAATCAGAAAAGGATAGTTCCATGACAAAAGGTAAACAAAAAGCAGTGTCTCTTATATTTGTCCCAGAATTTTGGCCTTGTGTTGATTTTGATGGTCCAGGAACACTTCCCCTTCACTTAAAACATTGCACCTATCCTATGAGAAATTTGATTTTCAGTTTTCACAACACATCCCATTTGTAAGTTGGGGGCTTCCTGTATACCAAAATGGTAATGAAAGAGTGAAATGACTACATTGGGTAGTTTGGTTATCGACATTTGTCTTGCAATATCTAACATATTACTTTATTTAAATCTTAATACTACTGTACTGTGTTGATGAAATAATGGATTAAAATTGTCTAGTTCAGAAAACAAAATTTGAAATTTTTGCATTGAATGTGAAGACTTCATTTTGATGAATCTGTGATAATACATTACACATTTTTTTTTTTACATGCTTAGACATTGTTACACTGTATCAGATAATGTAAAGGACATACTGTACAGTAGTACAACATTAGTGTTAATATTATTGTGTTGGAAAAGTAGTGGTGGTGATATTCACCTGAAGGAAAAAGACTTTAATTCACTGTTATGTGACTTGATCTACTTTAAATGTCTACATAAATGAAGTCTTGCCCAAGGAACCTCAGAGGAACTTTCTTTGTGTGGTGCTCGTGGGTTTTGTTACAGCAATTTAGGCTGCATTGTGGGTCTTTGTTGTACTGTACTAAAGAAAGTTTAAGGTTCCAAAAATGTATAAGATAATGCGTGATGTGCTTGTATGTTATCTGAATCTGGAGTACTGTAATCCTAATGGTGAAATTTTATTGAATTCCTGGTTCACTTTTTTTTTTTTTAGTCCTCATGTTCAATTCCCATAACATATGAATAAATGAGTGTATAGTTTAGATGAACTATTATGTGGAATATATAATGGTGGATTTTAGATCCTAATCCATTTTTTTTTAATATTTTTTGGATGCAGAAGTTTAAGTTAAAGTTCAGCTTTCTTCTGTGAGCGCCGTGCAACTGACTTATGTCATGAATATGAATTCATTATCAGGATAATATTAATTTGAACATGTGTAGTTAACTGTAGTAAGTCATGCTATTAATAACATCTGATATTATTGGTTCTCATCCATATGTGGACTGTTTGTTAAACTTTAACATCCTGACATTATTTTGTGCATATTAATAGTAAGTACTGTACTGTATTAACCTAACCACATAAGATAGGCATATATCCATGTAACAAATTGTTTTCATACAGCTCTTATATTAAAAAGCCAATATACTTAGCATCTGTATGTTCAATTGTCAACATACCAAATACATTTGACAGTCTATTGTGGCCATTATTGACCATTAATATATAGGTGTACACATTTTATTGAGGATAGTTTTAATTAACTGGTTTGGATCATTGTTAGTAAAAACAAAGCTAAGACAGCTGCAAAAAAAGTATTAATTTGTAGGTGTTGGGCAAGGAATGGGGAGGAAGCAGAGTGCTTCAGTTCTTTGATGAGTCAAAGGGCAATTTTGGAATCTTACGATGCTCCTTTTCTTGAATAAACCGAGGCGGGAGACAAAAACTTGTACCGGCAGCAGTCCTGACTTTTTTCTCAGTTTATGGAGACTTGTATTTCTTCACATGAAAGTTATGTCTGCTAAGGAGCCACAGCTCCTGGGAGGAAAAATGTTTCTTTAGTGGGGATTGGTATAAAAATTTGAATTTTAGTGCAGCCCAACTGAAATCAAGCTTCTTGTCTTGCTGGCTGGTCTAGCAGACATTAAGGAATCAGCAGTCTTATCAGTTCCTGCAGTCCATCAAACTTAAATTTGGACTTGGGTATGCTATCCCCCCAGGGTTTTACATTGTGTCCCCTCGTTGTGGTGGGTGGGGCTGTATGGACATGGGAAGCCTTGTTCATGTTTTGCATTACTAAGATTAACTTTATTTGTTTATTTATGTTTTTATTTATTTATTTATATATTCAAGAGCTCTTACATTCTTGTACAAGGCAGAACTGATTTTTATTCCCTGAGGGTTATGTAGTGAGCAACCAGAACCAACACACTACCTGTACTGGTAGTCCCACTACAGTGCAACTGGTATGAGGCTAAGTCGTAACCCTGCATCTGGTTGAGCCACATTGGGTGACAGTTGCAAACCAATTTCTTCCCAGTCATTCAACTCTCATTCATATTCTTGATTGTAATGCTGATAATTCCTCTTGACTAATTCCAATATTTTTCCCAATCCCTCGTTGAAATTTTAATCTGCATCTCCTTCGGCAGCAACAAAAATAAAACACATGAAGTAAATCAATCTTGTCTTTCCAAGTCAAACCTTTTATACCCCCTCAAAGCAGGGAAGTTGTAAGGTCCAGGACGGACCGAAACTTTTCTCGGACCGAAAAAGAGATCGTCGTCTCTTCAATTTCCAGTGGTTTGGTCAACATTTTTCAGCTACGTTGTTGTGACTCATCATCTGCACTGTACTTTAAGTTAATTTCTCAGACCCCTAAAGATTGACAAAACATTTTGATCTTGACCTCTCGAATTGAACTCCTCAAATTGGTTGGTTTGCTCAATTTAATCAGCAACATACATGTACATGTGTTATACAAGTCCAATCCATAATGGAACAGAGAGCCACACCTCACTGTCAGAACTGCATTGCTCAACGGTCACTCATCTAGCAGAATGTCCTGAATTTCAGGATGATCAGAAATTTTTCTTTTCTACTGGTCTGTTCACTACCTGTTCCTAGATGAAATATTTAGTGAATCTGATTAATGCCGTTTTTGTATTTGCATTTTGAATAATATGTAGGATTTCTTGAATATTGCGACATACTGATACAGAGTACAGCCATTCTTCTTTTGCTCTTTCTTTGGATTGTTACAAGAGTTCGATGCAATGAACAGGCCAAATGCCTTATCCAAATTCTGCAGAATGATGACACCATCATTAAAGTCACAAAATGATTTGATTATATTCATAGGCACCATCCTCATGTCTTAAGGTTAGACATTCAAAATACTACCAGGATGAAATTAAGGCCTTCATAGAAGATCCAGGGCCATCCTGTTCCGTCTGTGGATCCCTATACCTGGGTCCCGTATGGTAAACGATCAAAGAGCCTGACTATTAACTGCCATTTTTAACAGAGGTGGTGTTCTACTCAGATTTTTGCTATTTATAACTTTTTACAATTTATTTATACGGTTTTGTTAAGTATTTCTCTCGGTCCCACATTAATGTTATATCTGTTAAAAATATAGTACAGTATACACATTTGCTCCATCAGCAGTCAGTCGGATCATGCCAAAATTGACTACCAAGCCGTGCTGAGTTCCTGAATGTACTTGGGTGCCAGTCACCTGGTTTACTCCAAATCTTGTGACACTATAACAAGCTGTTCATTGTTCAGTTTGAATTTATATACAGTACTTCCAATCTAGAAGCAAAGAAAACACAAATTGCAAGGTCTTTTCTCTCCCCTGTTTCATGCTTAGCATAGATGAAAATGCTAAATTAAAAAATTATCATAACTGATTATGATACCTATGAGCTATAACTATATCAAAAGCTTTCAGGCAGTTTTGAAAGATGCTGTCTACCCATCATTCTCTTGTTTTATAATGATGTCATAAGAATCGCTCAAGTTTTTTAATTATGATTTTCCCTCTGAAGACGAGTTGTGTCTCTTATAAAATTTACTCTTCCCAAATGTTCCTTTTTCTGATTTCTGATTTCTTCCCAATCCTTTTTCTGATGAGTTTTTTCTATCTTGCATGGAATGCATGTTAATGACACTTGTCTAGTTTATTGCTTCATGTCTACATACCCTTATCAGGGCTGCTCTACTGCTAATTAATCCAGTAGGCATAAGATCTCATGTGACATCATTCTGAGGTCTTTATGGGATCAAGCAGTTGTACAATATAATTTTTACTCCCTGTACACCTGAAAAATCTGATTTGGCACCCCGATCATGCATAAGTCATAGATTTTATCATAGCCTCCAAAACATAAACCGAATAATATTAGGTTGATCATGAGTTCATCCGTGCACAGAGACAGAGTTTGAAAAACAATTAAATTGTTTGTTTATAAAGATGTCTGAATGGATGGTGGCCGCACCTTTCCCTTTCACTTTTAATTCTTTTTTTCTTAATTCCTTTCCTTTCTACTTTTAGATCATCTATCTTTTCATACTCTTCCTCCTTCTTATTTCTTCCTCCGCTGTGTTCTCATGCACTCCTCTACCTCTTTTTTTTCTCATTCTCTATAACACATCCTGATTTATTATACCATGATCGGGAGGTGAGGCTGTCAATAGCCGCACCTCCCGCAGCCTGCCAGCAGCCGCACCTCCCGCAGCCTGCCAGCAGCCGCACCTCCCGCAGCCTGCCAGCAGCCGCACCTTCCGCAACCTGCCAGTAGCCGCACCTCCCGCAGCCTGCCAGCAGCCGCACCTCCCGCAGCCTGCCAAGCAGCCGCACCTCCCGCAGCCTGCCAGCAGCCGCACCTCCCGTAGCCTGCCAGCAGAATGGCAGGAGGCAGTTAGTCGGTTAAGCGTGCAACACACATCATAACTAGCGTGTCAGAGGTAATCATACCGCAGCGATCATGCTTGAACTGTAACAATAATTCTTGATTAACGCGCCACGTAAACGACCAAATACTAACGTAACGATGCCAATTCTCACTGAAATAGCACGGAGATGGGATCTCCCGTAATCAAAATAAACCTTCAAATATATATCGCACAATATTGTGGATATATACCTAGGCTTTGACAAATTAATCTCGCGTGGCAGTTATTCTTTAGATATTTGCTATGGCAATATAAAAGTAGCTATCAGCTCTTGGTACAGGATTTTCCACCCACACCGCCACCCATTGTGTTTAGGGAGGAGGGGAAATGGGTGGGATGTAGTCGACATCTCTGGTAATTGGATGTCGTTAAGCGTTGTTAAGTGTCTTAGTTGAGTGTGTTGGGGCTGGCTATATGGTGAAGCATGTGTATTAGTCGTACTTGTTAATATGTGTCTTTATGGGTTTACAAGGACCATACAATATACATAGATGTAAGCCTGTGTGATACATAGTCATAATATGCCTCAATACTGCTGGAATAGCCTATCATCTCTGTGAAATTTATAATCATTGCATATATGAAGTGTTACGAATATCACTATTGAACAGAGGCTTTGTTAATGCCTTTGTGTTTACATCGTTTGACATCACTGATATGTTCCCTGTTAGTGATGCGATGGGGTTGGTACTGTATTGTTGGTGCTGCCACACTGTGTTGGGGTGCTGCCACACTGTGTTGGGGTGCTGTCACACTGTGTTGGGGTGCTGCCACACTGTGTTGGGGTGCTGCCACACTGTGTTGGGGTGCTGCCACACTGTGTTGGGGTGCTGCCACACTGTGTTGGGGTGCTGTCACACTGTGTTGGGGTGCTGTCACACTGTGTTGGGGTGCTGCCACACTGTGTTGGGGTGCTGCCACACTGTGTTGGGGTGCTGCCACACTGTGTTGGGGTGCTGCCACACTGTGTTGGGGTGCTGCCACACTGTGTTGGGGTGCTGCCACACTGTGTTGGGGTGCTGTCACACTGTGTTGGGGTGCTGTCACACTGTGTTGGGGTGCTGTCACACTGTGTTGGGGTGCTGCCATACTGTGTTGGGGTGCTGCCACACTGTGTTGGGGTGCTGTCACACTGTGTTGGGGTGCTGCCACACTGTGTTGGGGTGCTGCCACACTGTGATGGGGTGCTGCCACACTGTGATGGGGTGCTGCCACACTGTGTTGGGATGCTGTCACACTGTGTTGAGGTGCTGCCACACTGTGTTGGGGTGCTGCCACACTGTGTTGAGGTGCTGCCACACTGTGTTGGGGTGCTGTCACACTGTGTTGGGGTGCTGCCACACTGTGATACACTGGGGGAAGGGGGGGATTTGCTACTGTGCATCACTCACATAAATGAGCTTGTAGGGTAGAGCGCCAGCTATTAAGCCGCGGCTAATTATCAGTACTTCAGTGCAACGACGCCTTTCACTCGTTTTTCTCATATTTATATTTAAAACTGTTTCTTGAAGTGTCTTTGACAACATTCACATCTAGTCCAGTCCATATAATTACGACTTGATAAATTCCTTAATTCTGACATTTGAGACCTACTTTTGTTGGTAACTTCTCACTAGGCTCCTATATGTCTACATATCATGTCTGCCCTTATTCCTTCTTTCCTCCAGTGTGTTGCGGTATATTTTCCTCATTATCATTTATCCGATTTCACAATTTCACTTTTGCTTAAATAATACTGTA